TTCGAGGCTAGCCAGGAAGTCATCATTTATGCCGTGGCAACCGGTCTATCCATGATTCCGGCCAGTCTCGTTGTCGTGCTCACTATCACTATGGCGGCTGGAACTAAGCGCATGGTGAAGCGAAACGTCATTGTGCGCAATCTCAAGTCCCTCGAGGCTCTTGGTGCAGTCACGGACATTTGCTCCGACAAGACCGGAACCCTGACGCAGGGCAAGATGTTGGCTCGAGGTGCTTGGCTGCCTGGAATGGGCACGTACACCGTCGAAAACACATCGTCACCAATGGACCCTACCACTGGCGATGTTCGCTACGATGAGCGGTCTCCTAGACACCTCAATTTCAAAAAGGGCGGTGACGCTTGTGGCACCATCATGAAGACCGACCAGCTGTTGCAGAACAGTAAGTCGGCCCTCTCCGCGTTCCTCTACGTGGCGTCCCTGGCCAATCTCGCCACCATCAATAAGAAAGATGATCAATGGCATGCTCGTGGAGATCCCACTGAAATCGCCATTCAGGTTTTTGCTTCCCGGTTCGACATGAACCGCCTCAAGTTTGTCAGTGGCAGCGACACGCCCGAGTGGAGCGAAATCGCCGAGCTTCCATTCGACTCTGATGTCAAGCGCATGTCCGTCATCATGAAGAAGAACGCCACGAAGGAGTACTTCGCCTACACCAAGGGTGCTGTCGAGCGAGTGATTCAGATCTGCACAAAGTACGACCCCAGAGATGACGGCGAATTGGTAGACATCACTCCCAAGTTCCGCGAAGAGATTCTTCGCAACATGGAGGCTTTGGCGGGACTCGGGTTACGCGTCCTCGCACTTGCAAGCAAGCCTTTTCAGGGCACACCCAGCAAGGGCGATGAAGTTGAGCGTTCCTCAGTCGAATGTGACCTGGTCTTCCGCGGTCTCGTGGGCCTGTACGATCCTCCTCGCCCGGAATCCGCCCCGGCTGTTCGACAGTGCCACGAGGCTGGCATCTCGGTTCACATGCTCACAGGTGACCATCCTGAGACTGCAAAGGCTATTGCTATTGAGGTTGGCATCTTGCCCACTCGTATGGAGCGCGTGGCAAGGAACGTCTCAGACGCCATGGTGATGACGGCTTCCTCGTTCGATGCGTTGAGTGATGATGAGGTTGACAAGCTTCCCGTCCTGCCGCTCGTCATTGCGAGATGCGCCCCCAGCACCAAAGTCCGAATGATCGAGGCTCTTCACCGTCGCAAGAAGTTCTGTGCCATGGTAAGTTTGCAATCCCTTTGCCCCATTTGTTTAGTGGTATTCTGACTCGGATAGACTGGTGATGGCGTCAACGACTCCCCGTCCCTCCGCCGTGCCGATGTAGGTATTGCTATGGGCCAGGCGGGTTCAGACGTGGCCAAGGATGCATCCGATATCGTCCTGACTGACGATAATTTTGCTTCCATCGTCGCTGCTATTGAAGAGGGCCGCCGTATCTTTGACAACATTCAAAAGTTCGTCTTGCACGTCCTTGCAGAGAACATTGCCCAAGCTGGAACATTGCTGGTTGGTCTCACTTTCAAGGATGCACGCGGACTGTCGGTCTTCCCGCTTGCCCCGGTCGAAATCGTCTGGATCATCATGGCCACCTCTGGTATGCCCGACATGGGACTTGGCTTCGAGCGCGCCGTCCCAGACATCATGCGTCGCCCACCTCAATCTCTCAAGACGGGAATTTTCACCATGGAGTTCCTCGTCGACATGATTTTCTACGGCCTCTGGATCACCGCCCTTTGCCTCTCAAGCTTCTCACTGGTTGTCTATGGTTTTGGATCTGGTGATCTCGGAGAGAGCTGCAACGACAAGTACAATGACTCTTGCGACACTGTCTTCCGCGCCCGTGCTACAACTTTTGCCTGCCTCACATGGTTTGCCTTGTTCTTGGCCTGGGAGATGGTTGATATGCGTCGGTCATTTTTCCGCATGCAACCGGGGTCCAAGAAGTACTTTACTCAGTGGATGATTGACGTTTGGCGGAACAAATTCCTTTTCTGGGCCATAATTTTCGGCTTCGTTACCCTGTTCCCCCTGCTGTATATCCCCGTCATCAACACAGTGGTGTTCAAGCACAAGGGCATCACGTGGGAATGGGGCATTGTATTCATTGCTGCAGGACTTTTCTTCGCTGGTGTCGAATCATGGAAATGGGGCAAGCGCGTCTTCTTTAGGGTCCGCAACAGCAAGAAGCTCGGTGTCGCGTGGAAAGACATGGACATTGAGCAGAGAGTATTTGGGGAGTACCTCGGCTCCAGCGATGATGATCATCACACGGAAATTGGCGACGATGACGTTGACCTGGAGAAGGAAACGGCGGCGTTGGAGAAGAAGTAAGCGAGAGATGATTACCAGACTGTCAGCTTATGGAGACAAGTGAGTGCGTTCTTTGGAGCGGGTGAGCGAGACTAGTGCGCATGTTGTAGATGGTGAGAGTGATGTAGCACCGAATCAAATCACATACAAACTCGTCGTTGCATCTTTGTTGAAGTGTGTCTCAGTCGGCTGCTGCAAGTCACCAGGCACCGACTTAGGCCCCCTGTTGCCATTACCAAACCAGAGACTACCCGGGCGAGACTATTCCCATTCCTTGCGCAGATCAGTCCTGTATGTGGCCACAACACTTTGCCAAGGACACTGGATTCCCGAGGTTCGAAATCCTTCCGTGTGTAAACCAAAAAGTTCTCATGGCGCGGTACCAAGAAAGGATTGGTGGCCCCGCTGAAGCTGACAAGCTTGCCCATCAGTGGACTTCAAGGATTGGCTTCAAGGTACGTTCAAGACACCGAATAAAGGTGCTGCGTTTCCGGGACTCGTCATTGATTGACGGCATGGAATCGCTCTTTCTGAATTGTCCATGAGGGAAATCTGCCAAGATGCGCTTCGCAGTCACTTTTTCACATCTCCTCTCCGCGCTGCTCCTCCTCCTAGCGCAATCCCCAACGCCAGCGCTCGCCATCTCAACGACCCGCCCATCCGGAAACCTAGCCTTCCTCCCCGACGATGCCCCCTTCACATTCTCCTATTCCACACCAGACGCCAACGCGAAGAACTGGATCGGCATCTACCGCGCTTCAGGCGGCGGGCCGGAGAACCAGACGTATGTAGAGCCCTCGCTGGCCTGGGGATACGCGCCCGCGTCCAACGGAACGCTCAAGATTGAGAGTGAGGCCTTGGTCCCTGGCGACTACCGCGCTTTTTTTCTCGCTACAGACGGGTATGCGTGGCTTGCGTCGCCGGTGGACGTGAGGGTGCCGTATGCTTCTGGACCGGTGGGGTTCCTCGTTGACGAGGTCACGCTGAGGAACGCGCGGGTTGGGGAGGGGTATGAGGCGCGGATTGGGGGGTTGAGAAGCCGGGGCGGGAGGGAAGCCGTGAGGTTTCGTAAAGTCGATGGGAGCGAATGGGTTGTTGTGTCGGCGGACGGGGTCGTATCCGGCACGCCTGACGTCGTGGGTTCCGCGAGAGTTACGATCGAGGTGGTTGTCGTGGAAGCTGCGGATGCGTCGTGTGCGCGATTGGACGTTACTATTCCCGTGCGGGATGTCGGCGCACCGCTCGTGGATCAGTTGTCTGTCATGTCGTTCAATTTGTGGCACGGCGGGACGCAGGTATCTGATTACCACGCCAACCAGGTGCGGTTCCTGGCCTCGAGCGGCGCAGACGTCGTCGGCGTGCAGGAGAGCACGGGGGGCCACGCCGCGCGGTTGGGGGATGCGTTGGGGTGGTTTGCGTGGCAGGGCGGCGATGTTGGGTTTGTGAGTAAGTACCCTCTCGTCGGTGGTGCTGCGCACGAGGGCGGGACGTATGCTGCGTCTGTGAGGGTTGTGTTGGAAGGTGAAGGAGAGGAGGAGGAGAAAAAGGAGGAGGTTGTGTTGTGGAATGTGCATTTGGGGTATGATCCGTACGGGCCGTATGATTTCTGCTTTGGGAATATGACGGTGGAGGAGGTGCTCGCGCGGGAGAGGGAGTCAAAGAGGACGCCGCAGATTGAGTCTGTGGTCCGGGCCATGGCGGGGCAGTTGGCGGAGGCGGAGGCGGTGCCGGTGGTGCTGGTGGGTGATTTCAACGCGCCTTCGCATCTGGATTGGGTTGATGCCACGAGCGGGATGCATTGCGGACAAGGGGCGGTGCCGTGGCCCACGTCTGTTGCGCCGACGGAGGCCGGGTTGGTTGATTCGTATCGGGTTGTGTGGCCGGACCCGGGGGCGAAGCCGGGGGTTACGTGGTCGCCTGTGTTTTTGGAGAATGAGGGACGGCCGGAGCCGATGGATAGGATTGATTTTGTGTATTTTAGGGGCGGGAAGTTGGAGGTTATCGGGTCGGAGGAGGTCGTGGTGGGGCAGCCGGCGCCGGAGCCGGGGCATGGGGGGAATGAGTGGACTTCGGATCATGCTGCTCTTTTGACGAGGTTGAGGGTGAGGAGGTAGGTCTATGTATGGTGTGGCAGGATACGTCGTATTGAATCTATGCTTAAGGTAGTGCCCCATCTTCTCCTCGGACCGCGCTGTGCCTTTTGCTGTTCTTGAAACAAGATATTTCTCGTGGTCTGTTGTGTTTATTAGGCGCATACAGAAGAGAAACCCCCAACACTTGCCGTGAACCTCGTGCACTCTCTCTCGGTTGAATCATCAAGAGTGTTGTGTTGTTGGATGTGATACTGAGATGCATGCTGCTTAGGTAATTGTGCATAAAATTGGTGCATGGGACTTATACATACTGACTCAGCAAGGTGGAATGCATTACGATGACGTCGGTGTGGTTTGTGCGGAGCAATGATGTAAGTGCCCGGTGAAGAGGAGGAAGGAGGCCCGAGGTGGTGGTGGTTGCCCGATGTCAGACCACTCACGGCAGGCACTTTGACGTTTGAACTTGTTTCCAGACTTTGGCATCAGGGAACACGTCCTCCCGATTCTGGATAGACATCGAGTTCCTACTCTGTTTTATTCCTCACAATCACCACAAATCAACTACAACCAGAAGAAAGAAACCCACAACCAGATACCACAAACCTCGAACCGAATCAAAGAAGTAAAGAATCGAGAATCAAAATCCCAAAACCCAAAATCAACCACACGATGCCCTTCTCATTCACATCCTCCATCTCCTTCTCCTCCTCAATCAGCCACAACGGCAAGACGGAGGAGAAGCGCTGGGCCCGCAAGACGGAACGGAGTCCATCGGGCACCACCGTCCGGACGGCTTCCCACAAGACGGGCGAGCCCGTATACCTCGAGCGCCGCGAGTACGATTCTGCTGGAAAGGCCCTACCAGAGGGACGCGCTGTCAAGAGTGATGGGGCGGAAAAGATTGATCGTCGGATCGAGGACGTTTCTGAGCGGGAATGATTGTAGAAGCAAGGATTGGAATCATCGACATGATGGGAATGGAGTTTTGGGGGTTTGATTTCGGAGTTTGCTTTTGCTTCAGGGCCAGTCAATCAGCGATTATTCTTCGTACTCGAGGACAAGTGCGTTCTACTCGCACTTGGTGTGTTGACGGCAGGTGTTCTTTATTGTCTTGATCATCATCAACTACCTTAGTTGACCATCGTACTGCAGCAACAATAAGAAGCAGCTCGACAAGGACATTTTCAATTCCAATTTCACAAGCGTCAAACAAACATGGTGGTTATGACTGCATTATACTACGCTACCTCGCGCACTCTACTACGAGTACGCCCTGCAACCTCAAATCTTGATGACAACCTTGCCAAAGTGCTTCTGGTCCCACTGGTGCTGGTACGCCTCCTTGACCTCCTCGAAGCCGAAAATCCTCTGATCGACCACAGGCTTGATCTTGTTAGCGTCAATCGCCTGGTTCATCTCCTCAAACTGCTGCTTCGACCCGACAAACAAGCCGCGAATCGTGCAAATGTTGGCCAGCGCGTCCAGCAGCGTCGGCTGCTCGCCCTCGGGTTTATCACCGTGCGACAAGAACCCAATAATCGAAATCACACCCTCCAACTTGACCGCCTTGAGCGACTGCGCAACCGTACCGGGCCCGCCGACCTCGATGATGTGGTCGACGCCCACGCTCTCCGGCGTCAGCGACTTGGCCACCTCGCCCCAGTTGGGCGTCTCCTTGTAGTTGATGACGTGGTGCGCGCCGAGCTTCCTGAGCTGCTCGCCCTTTGCGGCGGACGACGTGGTCGCGATGACGGTCGCCCCCGCGGCGACGGCGAACTGGATCGCAGAGAGACTCACGCCGCCCGTGCCCTGGGTCAGGACGTAGTCGCCCGGCTTGAGCGCCTTGGACTGCAGGCCGTACAGCGCGTTCCACGCCGTCAGCGGCGCGCAGGGGAGCGTGGCGGCCTCGACGGACGAGAGCGTCTTGGGGGACTTTACGACGCCGTGCTCGGGGAAGACGGCGTATTGGCGGAGGGTGCCGTCGAGGGCGCCGCCGAGGCCGGATTTGACGGCGAGCGGGGTGATGGGGTTGGATTGGTGGTGCTGGTTGAAGAGGGTGGCGATGTTGTCGCCTTCTTTGACCTGCGTTACCTTTGGGCCGACGGAGACGACGCGGCCGGCGCCGTCAGAGGCCGGGACGCGGGGGAAGCTGACGGGGAAAGGGTAGAGGCCCTGTAAAAGAGCGGCGTTAGCGGGGGCGGGCGTTTCGGACGACCGGACGAGCCCCGGGGGGTGGAGGGGAACTTACCTTGGGGATAGCCAAGTCGCGAAAGTTTAGGGAGACGGCCTCGATTTGCACGAGGACGTCGTAGTCGCCCAGCTGCGGTAGAGGCACATCCTTCTTGAGCTCGAGGGTGTCCCAGTTGCTGCTGTCCTTGCCGATGCCGGTGATGGACCAGGCGTTGGTTGATGTTGGTGCCATGATGAGTCGGTTATGTGTGATGATCGGTCTAAGGGGCGGTAATAGTCCAAGGAACCTTTACATTTCTTTCAACAAAACTACACCGAATCTTGCTTTGCAGACTTGGTTTATATGTAGGTATCGCTTCCCAAAAAAGATTTCAAAGCAGTCGTGGGGTTTTCGCAGCCCCGAAGCTTCGAAGAGTGTCGACATGACGCAATGTCCACTTATACCGTCATATCGGGGTCCGGCAATGCGACATGACCTTCTTTTTTGCACTGATTCCACTGACTCGAATGTGTTGAACCGTCGACACCCCAGCTATTGCCCCCCTGCCCGTGTCCATTGGCTTTCCGCCGCCATTCCGCTTTCTGCCCCGGAGCCGCTCGGCATTCACGCCAATTGCCACATTACCACCAGCATCTCGGGTGCGGTTTTGCTAGTTGGCAGTACGGAGTAGCATACGGTGCCTGTTGGAGTCACCGAATCACCGCGGCTTTTTGATCTGTCCCCCGATGGCTAACCCACCAAGGTGGCATCCGTATTGTCATGAGAACACAACGATTGGACCATGGATGCATTGGATGGTGTCGCGTTGTTTTACAGTGTCTACGGAGTATTGATTTGTAAGGCCGTAGCTCTCAACCAACTGGACTTGCCTGGGTCTGTGCCCACCTGTATCCATTTTCCAGAAGATTTTCTTTCTTCTAGCTTACGGATACTAGTGTAGTAACAACTAATGAGGTTTATCACTGACAAAGTGGAAAAGTGAGGGGACGGTAGCAACGGGGCGGGAACGAACAAGACAGCAGGTTAGGCAAAAGCACAAACAACTTGCGAATAGCTTCACTTTCCCCATGAGTCATGCATATCAGACCTAGAACCCGAGGCGACTTCTATGAACCCCGTTGAAACCCAACACAACACCCCTTCCTTTGATCCTCCGATAGGCGCGAGGATGCAGATGGGACACAACACACTGTTTTCTGCCGCGTTCACCGCCCCTATGGTTGCCCCTCGCAAATATCCGCTTGAGCTGGATTCTGCCACAGTTGCTGTCCAGGCGTAACCATACTGATGGATCTGGTTTGCTTTCGCCTGCGCACAGCATAGCCAGTGTCTTGGTGAGTGATTCCTCTCCACGGCATCCAGTGCTTCGTCAAGAATACCTCGTGAACTTATCCAAGCAGCAAGGGCTTGGGTTTTACTGATTGCGTCTGTATCAAGCTGAACCATGCCGTATGCGAGTATGTTTCCCAGGTGCTCCGACATACAGTGGCGGGTCGAATGTGAGGAAACCTAGGTACTCACCCGAGGTGGTCGCTGAACAATCATCTAAATGAGCACAACCGGCATCCTTCCAGCGACATTCCTCTCCCCCACGCAAGCCTCAAGGAGACTGATGAATTGATTTGTTTCCCGGGGTTATTCCCATGCCAAAAGTCTAGAACCCGCAGCTGACGCCGCTCCACAATCAAGCTGAGAACAAATGAACCCCCCCCTCAAGGGATTATTTCCCGTACGGGCCGGGATGTTGGAATTGGCGCGCGATTTCAGATTGACCAAGTGCAATATGGTCCGGTGTTTACAACCGCCTTGTGGTCTGCTTTCTCTGCTTAATTAGATGCCCCTGCTTCTCCACGACAAACCCATCAAAACTTCTCGGCAGGGGGGGGGAGGGGAGGCAAGATCCGTTTAATCATTCAGAACGTACAGAGTATGTGTGCATATACTCCGTAATTACTTGGTAGATAATAGCAGCCAGTATGCCCCGAAAGTGATGATCTAGTTCTGATCTTCATTCCAACTTTCACTGTCAATCTTTTTCCGCACCACTGGCGGGTTGCTTTCCACAGTCTTTACAGCGTCACTCCCTATCCCAGCAACGATGAATATCTCTCGCTACCTGGCCCCGGCCGTCTTCGCCTCCGCCGCCGTCGCCGAAGAGACCTTTTGCGGTGCCCCCAATGACTATGAAGTCCTCATGGGGCACCCCGAGGATCGTCTACTCGATGAACTACGCCTACCAGGCCATCAAGGGATCGGCCTGCACCGGCTACTACGGCACGTCCGGATCTGGCGATGCGCAGCGAATCCAATGGAGCAGCATCTGGGACATTGATCCCACGTACCAAAAGGACGTCCTCAAGGGATACTCCTTCATCGGCCTGAGCCAGAACCTCGAGACCAAGCTCAGTGCCATCCAGAGCATCCCCAGCACCTACAGCTGGACCGTCTCCAACTCTTCGGCTTACAAAGATAAAGGGGGGCTTTCTTTTCTACCTCTGCATCACGCTGAACCCGGTGCTTGCATGTTGCTGACTCAACTACCCAAAGGCAACGTCGTCTACGACTTCATGACCTCCGACACCAAAGGCGACAGCACGTCCAGCAACGCCCAGGAACTCATGCTCTGGCTCCGCTGGGAAGGCGGACAGGTACCCATTGGCTGGGCCGAGGGCCCAACGGCCACGATTGACGGGCTCTTTGGCAAGGACGGGTGGAAGCTGTACCAAGGCAAGAACACCGACACCGGCATCACCGTGTCTTCGCTGCTTGCTCCCACCCAGTACGCCGACCTGGAGAAGGGCACCTTTGAGGGAGACAGCAAGCACTGGCTCCTCGCGCTCTCCAAGCAGGGCGTCTTTTCCGAGAGCACCTACGTTAATGTGGGAAACGCTGGCCAGGAGCCGTACTGGGGCACTGTCACGTTCAACAACACTCTCGGCTTGAACATCGACCTTTGAGGGTAAAGCCAGGCCGGGGTATCTGCATGAGACAGCTATACCGACTTCGTTCCTTGTACAAATTCATCTCCATGTTCATTGACGCTGATGGAACATCTTGTAAATGTTCTCTACTGTTCACGACTTCAAAAAGATGGTGCCGCTCATGACCTTTGTGGCCGTTCCTCCAAGATGCAGCGTCTCTAGCTTTCGTGCACCATCCGCGCCCCGTCCAAGCTTCGCGTCAACGTAAATATTGCTCCTCCGACCCATCTCGACTCCCTGCGTGATGTCAAAGCCGAGTGAATCTTCAGACAGCTCGTGCAAACTCAGATAGCTCGACAGAGCGCAGGCAGCGCTACCTGTGGCAGGATCCTCCAGATCAGGCTCAATCAAACGGGTTCTGATCTTGTGCACAACACGTCCATCAACCGTCTCGGCACCCAACCGCACAAAGTAGTACCGCGAAATAAACGTCTCGCGCCAACCCTCGTCCAGAAGCTCCTGCTGCCGAAACTCCATGGGCCCAATCTTTGCGGACGCCAACGACGCCAGCGAGGGCAGTTCCACAAGCGCAAACGTCATGCCGCTCACGATGCTAAAGACGGGCGCTTCGACCTCCGCTTTGGCAAGTTCTGCTACCGAACCGCTGTACGGGCCGGGCCCGAGGTCCCTCAGCCGCTTCTGGTGGAGACGGGTGTTGTGCGGGATGGCGGCCCGTACGGACTCGGGCCCCGTCTCTTCGATTTCGATGGGTCCGGCCTTTGCAATCAGCTTCTTGATGCCGCGGGACTTGAGAAAGATGGCCGTGCCGACGGTGGGGTGGCCCGCAAAGGGAAGCTCCGCGGTCGGCGTGAAGATATCGAAGCGTCGCTCCGTGGATGCGGGGTCGTCGACTTCGTGCACAAAGGTCGTCTCGGAGTAGTTGAACTCTCTGGCAATGGTTTGCTTCTGCGCCTGCGTCAGGGACGTCGAGGCCGGGATCGTGACGATGGCTAGGGGGTTGCCCTCAAAGGGCTTGTCCGTAAAGGCGTCGACGGTGGTGTAGGGGAGCTCCATCGATGTGTCGTATAAGGGCGGATCGCCTAGATGGTGAATACAAATGAAGTGTATACCAAGAAGGCTTGAATGACAGGTAGAACGGGACCACGGTTACTCCAGGCTGTTGAAATAGCGAAGCTGGTGAGCAATGAATGAGTCACCGGTTGATTCTTAGACCTGGTCGAAACGAGGATTGTTTATTAAGCAGCAATTGCCAGTTGATCGGTAAACATTTATTCTGCGTCGTCACCCGCGCCTTTTGCGCCCTTCGCCGACAGACGTCCCCACTCCCCGGCCCCCTCTCTTGATAATTCACGCGCCGGCTTGTCTTTGAAGTTTCCCCCGAAATCCACTTCCGCCCTTCAACAATGCTTCCAAACATCTCGGGCTCGATTTTAGATGTCGAGTGATGGCGATCAGTCCGCGCTGTTTACATATTCAAATATTAAGTGTTCATGTACAAAATGTAGCATACGGAACGTCAAGTCCCATCCAACCCTCTCACGTCCATTTCTCAACTTAGAGTAAGATACTTCAAGTTGTAGCATCAAGACAAGCCATGACGACCACACGCCGAAGCGTCTATATAAACCACGAGGCGGGACCGACCAAACCTGCCTCCGATGCATCCCTCGCACAGGCATTTCACCAGCAGCTGCCCGCCTTCGCCAGAACCCCTCTCGTTTCTCTCGAGGATATCGCCCAGGAACTAGGCGTGAAAGCCGTCTACATAAAAGACGAAAGCAACAGACTAGGACTACCATCCTTCAAGATCCTGGGCGCATCATGGGGAACGTACCGCGCCGTCACGACTGATCTACACTTGCCCGCCGACACGCCCCTCAACGACGTCGCAAAGGCCGCCCAAACGCATAATCTCTCCCTCTACGCAGCTACGGAGGGCAATCACGGTCGAGCCGTTGCGACCATGGCCCAGATTCTAGGCATCCCTGCGCACATCTACGTTCCCAGCAGCGTCGACAGTGAGGCGGTCACCAACATTGCCTCCGAGGGCGCCAAAGTCATCGTGAGCAACTCCCACTATGACGACGCTGTCATGGAAGCGTGGCAAGCGTCAAAGTCAGTAAAGGGCGGGCTTCTGATTCAAGACAATGCGTTTGCGGGGTACGAGCAGATTCCTGCCTGGATCGTCGAGGGCTACTCCACCCTCGTTCGCGAGGCCGAGCAACAGGTGGCCGACCACGGGCTGAAGCCGAGTTTGATGGTGACCCCAGTCGGCGTTGGATCTCTAGCGCATGCCGTCGTGTCTCACTGCAAGTCTGATGGTCGAGATTGCGCAGTCCTGTCAGTCGAGCCCGATACCGCTCCGTGTCTCTGGACGAGTCTGAAAGCGGGTAAACCAGTGACGGTTCATACCTCGAGAACCATCATGGAAGGGCTCAACTGCGGTACTGTCTCTCTGACGGCGTTTGGTGATCTTCGTGTAGGCATTGATGCCAGCGCCACAGTCTCCGACTTCGAAGCCCATGAGGCCGTGAAGTATCTCCAGACGAAGGGGGTCAAGAGCGGGCCGTGTGGTGGCGCCACCCTCCCAGCGCTCCGAAGGCTTGCCCAAGTAAACCCACGACCAGCCTGTCTTTCCAAAGACGCCGTCGTGGTATTACTAAACACAGAGGGCCCCCGGAACTACAAGATTCCCTTGGATGTGTCCACCGATGACCCCGTCACGTTGACGCAGATCCTCACGTCCATCGATTCTTCCAAACCCCGACTTATCCAAGGCTTCAGGTGCCGGTGAAGGCGAGATTGCCCACTACATTACCGCGTGGCTGCAACATCGCAACTTCGAAGCGCACTGGTTGGAAGAGACGCAAGGCCGACCTTCCGTAGTCGGTGTGTTCCGCGGAACAGGAGGGGGAAAGTCCATCATGCTCAACGGGCATGTTGACACCGTCAGCCTTTCAAGTTACTCGCCAGACCTGGAACCTTTGAGCGGAGAACTCAAGGAGGACGAAGGAGGACGAATCTTTGTTCGTGGAAGCGCGGACATGAAGGCAGGTCTGGCAGCTGCCATGGCGGCAATGGCTCGATGCAGCTCTCAATCACGCCCTTCTCTACGGGGCGATGTCATCCTCGCCGCTGTCGTCGACGAGGAGAACTTCTCCATAGGCACAGAAGAGGTCATCAGGGCTGGATGGAGGGCCGATGCCGCCATCATACCGGAACCAACCAACCAGGAGATGGCGATCACTCATAAAGGATTCATTTGGGTTGAAATCGACATCCTCGGCGTTGCGGCCCATGGATCTAGGCCCGAGGATGGCGTAGATGCCATCTTGCTCGCTGGTGCAGTGCAGACGGCATTCCTTGAGTACTCAAAGGCATTGCCCTCCGACTCTCGGCTGGGAAAGGCATCTTTGCATGCAGGCCTCATTCAGGGCGGCGAAGAACCTTCCAGCTATCCGGAGCTGTGCACTTTGACAGTTGAGTTTCGAACCATCCCGGCACAGACTACTCAGAGTATTCTTGGAGACATCGAGAGCATCTTGACTAGTATCGCCAAGTCCAAACCAGACTTCAGATATGCTGCTCCTCGAATGACCTTTTCGCGGCCTCCGCTTGGGCAGAGCCCGGACGATGAGTTTATCAAGACCTTCATCTCTGCTACCTCGAAGTGTCTAGGTGAAGCGCAAAAGCCTGTTGCGTGTTCTTTCTGGTGCGACGCTGCATTGTTGAACGAGATCGGTATCCCATCGGTTGTCTATGGCCTTAGGAGTTTTGGGATCCACGGCAAGGAGGAATGGGTGAGCGTAGCGAGCATTCGGGAAGTTGCATCGGTGATAGAGGTCGTGATTCACGACTTTTGCGCTTAGATACTGGACCCAGATCACGGATTAGGCTAAGTTTTGACAAAGGAAGGCGAAATGGGTACAATGACATGTGCTTTCCGAGTCTATGGCTCAATGGCTCTGAGATATCTTGACTAATAAATATTCCCTCGTCACCTCAGGGCTCTCGCTAGTTCAATTCTCTCATAGCTTTCAGAGTTCCTCAATGTATGCCTCTGTGTTCCCTGCGTAATCTCGTCCATTGCGTTATATCCAATCTCAGTCTCGCGAGCTCTCATGGCGGAGTCGGTAGTCGGCGATGGCCCCATGGCAAGCAAAACATTCCGGTTCGTCTCTTGTTCTATCTTCCTTCCCTCCTCTAGAGTGCTCATGCCAATTTCCGTTGGAAAGGCGCTCTGTCCATCTGACTTCAAATATCCATTTCTTTCATCCGACCTCGTCGTTGCGTACATTTCCGAGAACAGTACTCGTAGAACCGGGATAGATGACGCAACGATTGTGACGTTGATCTCAGCTTGTCCCCATATGAATAGCAGAGACAGGCGATCTATAGAATGATCAGAGAGATCCAAATACGAGAACGAGGTCTTCATGCTCACATGGTATATCTGCGCCTTCGGCGATGGTCACTATTTTGATGACCTTAATCACCCCGACTAAACCTGCAATGACACCGAGGCTCATGGCTACGGCCACACCAATCTTCTCATGGCGCTTCAAGGCTAGTCTCCATATCATCGGCCATGGGAGTAGGGACAAGATGAAATCAACTAGTGCCGAGTATGCTAAAACCACATGTTAACTGGCTGTCTGGACACATTCGGTTGAGTTCATATATTGCTTACCATTTGATACCATGTGCATAACGACCGAATCCTCGACTCGCCAGCAGGATCCTGGTAGGACAGCTTCATAAGAGTCCGACGGTCTATCGCAGGCCGCTTTCCAGGCGACGACAGCACTAGTTGCCAAGACTGCGTTCATGGAAAAAACCAGGAACCAAATGAAAATCTTCAATTTCCCAGACGCAATGCGTAAAATTGTGACTGCAAAAGACGTTTTGCTGAGGGCCAAGGCGACCTTGTTCATGACGACGTTGACAGACGACAGAGTGAAAATATGCGCTGAGAAATCTAGCGACTTTCCAAACCCGAGTCTCATGAGCTCTGTGGTGAGAGACGTCGAGACTAGCAGGAATGTCTCAAGAGAACAATCGTCAGCAATGAAGGCTCTTCCGACAGGTCAAAAAGCCTCTTACCCAAGACGCCACCAAGAGATAGTCATCGGTCCATAAGCCACGGGATCTGATCTTCTTGCAATAAACACGACAAAACAGAAAAACAGTCGATACCGAAATCATGGCCCATATCGAAGCGACGACCCTAGGCGCCGGGTCTTTGGAAACGGCAATCACGAATGGAGCTGTAGAAGACATATTTCGCCTGGGAAGACTTGCTATAATTGTCGAGCTCATCGTTCAGAAAAATATGATGATGCTGGAGAAAACACAAATGGCAGAGTGGAAACTTTTCACGCCAATGGCTTCCATGGCTGGGGCTCATCTCAGGTTAAAAGTCAAAAAGCTGGTCCGCTCCCGATGAAGATGTCAATCAAGTCTTTTCGGGAAAAAGAAAGAACTTCGCTTCCACTACCCTATCACACCTCAGGGCCAAAGCTCAAAACTAACGCATACAAAAGATGCAATCCGACAACGTGTTCTGTGGCAACCGAACGACCTCTTGGATCATGTTCGTGTAGGGGGGCCAGGCCTGGGTGAATCAACGCAAGGATGCAATTCACATCAAAAAAGAAATACGATCCAAAGCTGTGGGATAGTAATCCTCGGTCGCCCCGCACGATGTGAATGATCATTGGTCGCCATAATTGTCTGAGTGACCAAGCCTCCCGACGGGGACTAGTCGATGCTAGGGAAGCTGCCTACATCACAAGCTTGACATCGAGTGTTTGAAGCCATGTCGTCTCGGACTTCGAAGTGGAACAAGGTCTCGAGAAAACTCTATGATAATGACAGCGTTTGCATGAAAGCGAGACTATACTGGGCTTGCTAGTCATAAATCAGAAATGTGCTTGGGCAGGTTGAGTCGTGGACTGAGTCGACAAGAAGCCTTTCATCATGCAGTCTAGCCGAGAGGTTGTCATTAGTTCCTGAGCTGTCAGATTACTGATTAGTGCTGTTATTCGGGAATACCACGAAACAGTAGAAGTCCTGTCGGATCATCTGTCACTGTTGCCTATTCGCTCAGCGTGGTAGATGTCTCTTGGAGGGTTGGATGTCGCACCGTCGAATCCTTCACACGTCTTTGACAATGCACTCAGGCGATTCGAGATCACCCCTGTGGTTCAAGTCGCGGTGACATACATGAGTTACGTCGAATTATATGAACAGACAGCTTCCTTACGCTAGATAAGATCTCGAACTTGCACCCCATGAGAATAGTCCTCGGAAGTTCCGTCCCGGCACGTTGGTCTAGAATCTGATGCCTTGCATCATGCTAGCTGCATTAGTAGTCTTACGCTAGTCTTTCCTGTCCCTTAAGCTCTCACATGCCATTCGCTGTCTCTTTGGAAGTTTTTGCAGGATTCGGAAAAGAAAGTTCTCGAGGATTGACCAATCACTCTGCTCATTGACCCTTGCAAGCCACGGCTGAGGGTAAGCACACCACGCACATGGTATCTTCGAAAGTGAAGAAACATCGACAAACAGGAAGCCCAGTTGCTGGTGAACCGTCTCATTGCTCCCACTCCATCATGGCTGACTTTCCCAAGTGATAGATTGCGGACGAATTGTCATAGAACGGGTGTTGCTGGTTGCCAACTTGTCAATCATCATTAGGTCGATGCAATGTCTTGGAAATTGCATGGTATTGGATGGAGCCCACGTTCAAGCTCTTTCTTTAGAGGCTCACTCAGACACCGTGCTCTGATGCGAAGCTGAGGGGTAAGCGAGGTTGAATTCAATTTTGGTTGAATCTCAGCTTGTTGGAGTAACGTGAGAAGATGACTTGAGCGAAGCTAATCCTATTGCTCGCATAGCACGAGGGAGAATGGCAGGATTAAGTAACAGGCTAGCTTTCAATTCTCCCATTTCTATTCACGAGCTGATTAAATCTACTAAACTTCTTTAAGAATGATATTACTATAAGTTTTCATCATTGTATGATGTAAGTGCATCCTTTTTTGTCGTTTAGGTTAAAGTGAGAACGGGTATGATATGGGTATGGATCGAGGTTCAAAATGGTAGTCTAGGAGGAAGGAAGTAGCGTGTGCATGGTATCTTACATTCATAGAAAGCGGTTGTCGAAAGGGCATATCTGACGGCGAAGCTGTGCATTCATGTTGATCTGACTAGCCTGCCTTAGACGGGAAGTTTCAACAATATTGTGAGCACAGAGCAAGGCTTGGCGAGCGCATCTACACAGTAAGGTATGGAGTAGTTGCTTATAATCCCAAAGTGGTCCGGAATCTAGGATACGGATGACCCCAGCCCGCGCGTAACAAGGATGTGTTCAGATCTTCCAGGTTTCGTCCGAACGTGCGGTATCCAAGAACCTGGATTCTCGGCCCCACCACGGAACTCAGTGCTTATCGATACGAAGGCGGGCACGGCGGGCCCGAAGCTGGCGGTAATCATCGGCAGAATATTTACTGTCTGAATTGAGACACTCTCGGGTTTCTCGAAGCAATGAAGCCATCGTATGCACGTCTCGCACAACGAAATTCCGATATTATATACCCAAATGCTGCTTTACTTACGTCGCACGTGGGTACGGTCTTCTCCCTTACAATGTCTAGCGCAGATACCCGGTAGACGCGCTGCGTCGACCAAAGCCACGAAGCCCGCTTTCGCCCAATCCCTTCTGAAGGAGACAACCCCGACAGCGTCAAGATTGGCCGAAACGGGGGCTTGGGCGATGACTCCACGATCCAAGAAGCCAGAATATGGCAGTGCTGCTGCAAATAAACCCAAGACGAAGAAAAAGGTCAAGGGCGACAAGTCGCGTGTCAATGTCGTGGACGAGAAGCTATGTGGTGTGTTCATGATGCCCGTCGCCAGTCGCATTACAGACGAAGATGCTAATCGGGCCTGCCACCAGACGATATCTTGAAATACATAGGTCCTACACTCGAAAGACACGTTGGCTGCGACTTGGTCGACATCAACCCGGGCGCCGGCGTCTGGAGTCGTAAGCTCCACGAGGTCCTCCAACCGCGCACCCATATCCTCATGGAACCCGACGACGAGCTTTACCGACCCTTCCTCCAGCCTCTACTCGAAAATCCAAATACAAAACTGATACCCCAGTCCGGAATCCTTTGGGACGAGCTGAACGAGGTGCTCGGCCACATCCAGAACCAGGTCCCTCAGCCGAGGGGCCCCGACATCGAGCCCACGCGCAACGACACCCTCCTCGTGACGGCGAACCTCGCCTTCTTTCCCAAGAAACGCTACCGCAACTTCGATTCTGTCGCCTCACTCGTGCTCTTCCAGCTCATCAGCAGCATCCGCACCGGCACACTATTCCAAAAATATGGCCTTGTCCGCATGCTGGTTTGGGCCAACAACGACGACCAGCGCTCGTTCCTAGCAAGGAACCTCCAAGGGCGGCGCAAGTCGTCAATTGAGGCCGAGTTTGCGTGCGAGTGGCTCGGCGTGGTGGCCGGCAAGGAGGCGTATTCGAACTCGGACTCCAAGAGAGACGTTTGGCACGTTCGCGATCGGTGGATCGATATCGACAGCACAATGGACACACTGGAAAGGATGAGAAAGAATGGCTTGGAGATGCCAGAGGGACGAAAGTTGGATTCTACGACGCAGGCTGAACAAGGGGCCGTCGGCACTGGGCGCCACGCAGGCGTGCAAACGCCGTATCTCAGCCGGCCCTACATGGCGGAGCTGAAGGAACTTGAAGACGAGCTGGCGGCCGGCATCCTAGACACGTCGAGTACATCAAAACCCTTCAAACGCCTCAAATTCCTACGGCACACAGTCAAAACCCACGAAGAAGACGCCGAGAAGAACAAGATCCTCCTGGCGGAAATGTACGAGCTCAGCCGTCTGCGTGCGAACAAGGCCGGCACGGACGCGGAACTGGGCGAGCGCGAACGGGCGTGGGAGGCCAAGGTCTCGGCGCTCGGCAAGAACTTTCTCATCGACTTCCGCGTCCTCCGTGATAACTTGCACATCTTTCGGCAAGACCCGCCGGTGATGCTCTGGGACCGGCGACCCTACGAGCCGCTCGCCGTCAGCCCGGCCGAGTTCTTCCCCAACGTCGAGTGTTGTCTGTTGGACATCCAGCCCAAGGCGATGTATCCGCTCCTCCGGCAGTCCGGGCCGGGCACCTCGCATGCGGGCGACATGTTTGAACTGTTCCGAGCGTCCATGCTGGCGCAAGGCCTGGAGCCCGTCAGCAAGTCTCTGGAGCGCATCTGGCCCGGGGCGGCGGAGGGTATCTTGCCGCACTGCCCCAGCCTGCGGGACCCGGCCCAGGGAGGACTGAATGCAACGGGGAGCGCGGAGCTCTGTTCTCGAGTACTGAACGAGAAGCAGTGGATGGAGCTCATGGAGGCCTTCATGGCGTGGCCATTCCGGCCAACGTACGAGGAGATGATTGGGCGATTGGCGGACGACATTGAGCCCGCCGAGGATGATCACAACGCCGGCGGCAGCAGCATGTCGACGGATGCGGCATTGGCGTAGAGGCTCTAGGAGAGAAAGCGGGCATTTCGTGCTGCCATGGGACCTGCGGGGGCCGCGGGCAGCACTTATGATTCACTACGCATGTATAATGAGTAGATTCCCCTGTATCTGTACAATGTGAATCTTAGAGACAGTATTCAACTGGTATGTTGATGTACTATCATAATGTATATAAAGTCACAGAATAGAGACGCGGGGGTGATGGTTTAATAGGTCATGCATGTCCCGATCACACATTGACGGTAGGTAGCTGGACAGAATTTGGCCGACCACGTTCTTTTCCAGTCCTCGCCAAGAGGAATCGGGCAAGGACGAAGATGGAGGGAATTGTCGGCTCTCACATGGCTTTTGATCAACGCATAGCTCCTGGTCCATGAATGGGTTTACGTCGTCGTAGTTGGCCTGGAGTGTCGAGCTAGATTCGCTCCATGACATGACCAAAGGTCAAGACGATATTCGTCCGCAATCATTGCTTGAAAACAGTATATGTGAAGCATGTTGCCTATCTGCCTTTATGCATCTGGAAGCGGTCGAAGCATTCAACGGTGCAGCGGTAATGTCAGGGGTCCCTGGGTCGGGAATCACCCAGAACAGCGTCCGGGAAGAAGTGCAAGGGATGCATGGCGCATCGCGGGTTGAACAGGGGTTGAGGACCAGATAGATGGACCATGACGACACTGGACGGCACTGAAGGAGAATGAGATTGTTCGAACTTGAAAGAGTCGAAGCATGACTCCGAGCCTTCCAAGAGCGTTGTCTGGGCTTGGGAAATGGCAAGAAGACGGTTTGATGAAGGCTTGCGCAATTAAATGGGGAATCGTGTGCCAGTCTGCGGCAGAGTGTGATTGCAATGTGGGACGAGCAGGTTCTTCAGAAGTTTAGGAGGCTATGCTCTCTTAGTCTCCTGGTTGTGTCTTATTACGAGTATACGCGTCCGCCGTGCATGTCACTCTACTCTGTGTGTGTGCTTGGTTCACTTTTTGTTCATGATTTGCGGATAGATGATCAACATGGAATGGACGCAGTGGTAACACATACAATGCGAGATTCGTCACGTTCAAAACGTTGCACCAAGACTGATGCCACGTGTGGTTTCGAGAAGATGGGGAATAGCCGCATGTCTGTTTCTAGTACAACGACGAGATGACAAAGAGACTTCACGTAGAGAAGTTCAAGGTGATGAACTCATGAAGAAACAGGACTGTGGATGAAAGGTGGAGTCTCGTCTCTTTGTTACATCTCAGTTGGGGTGGCAGTGGAACAAGATGGCCACCGGTTCCCCGTTTCCCATTTCTCATCTCTCATTCCCATCCGCCCACCAGCCACAGCCACAGCCACAGCCAAGGCCCGTTTGTGCGACGTGAGGTGGTGTACAATCTCGATAGTGGACAGATACGACTCATTCTGGCATATATGAGCAGACTCCAGACTCCAGACTCCAGACTCCAGACTCCAGCAGACTCCTGGACATCCGCATTGAATGTACCGGTAGATTCGTTTGGATAATGTGTACTCCGTACTCCGTACTCCGTAGAAGAAGAGACATATGTGAGGGCCGATGTGCTCAGGGGTTAAGTCGGACGGCACCACACTACCTACTGTGCAGTTGCTGGATCGTCGGCCACCCTGCCTGTCAGTCTAAGCGCTAGAAGAATCGCTAGCGCAGGAGCGTAGCACCAATACCGAGCGCCGGGCAGCACGTTGCCCCTTGGACTGAGAGAGGTGGCGCTCGCGCCGAAGCTGGGGGAGGGAGGTCTCGTGGGTACAGATGCAGGACACTTGTTCTCGATTTGAGATGAGACATGCTGTAGTGTTGACTTGGGTGATGGCGAGAAGCCACAGCCAACGTTCCATGAGGCAATCTATTTACCGGTGGTCTTTACAAAGCACACATAGCGCGAATGTCCTCCCCGCACACCCCCCTTACTTACCCCTGGACCCTGACGAAGTAGTGACTGTCCTTTGTCCAGATGTTTCAAGTTTTCTCTGGAATGCACAGCAACGGTTTTTTGGTGTGCCTTACCAAGGTACGTCCAGGGACCGCCCGGACTGTCTCTGGAAATCTGGTTTGGCACATATTACTCCTTAGTCTCGGTGTATTGGGTGCATTGGTATAGAGTAAGACGAAGAGAGCCTTTTGATGATTGCTGTCTTCAAGCTATCCATAAGGCACTGGTGGTTGGCAAGCGAAAGTGGTCCAAGGTCATCGTAGTCTACATAAACACTTGGTCATATACCAAAGTAGATTCGAACAGGTAGCTATTCGTGATGGTGGAAATGACTCCTATTCAATGTGCGCCAAGTACTAAGGTTGTCGCGACAAACAAGAAGGTACCGTACCTGGATGGCGCCCCCTTTTCGCCGTTTTGTTCACACTTCCACCAAGGCTAAGGTCAGGCTAAGGTGCTCCGAAATCCCGTCAAGTAGTAGTTTATTTCTTCTCGCGTACTAACGCCAGTCGTTGAGGCAACTTGGATCTTCTGCTACAAGTTGAGGTATCTAATCTCTGAAACTAATTCGATAGGAGAAAGCAAAGAAACCTGGATAACAAAAGTCAACTGCCGGCGAACCGAAGGTGGCTCAATCCACTACCACGAAACTAACTACCCTACCATAGGTATGTAGAGACCATGGCTCTGGACTGCAGTGAGACACAGTAGTGAAAGCAAGCCCATTCAAGAAAAGAAAGGAAAAGAGAATAGAAGCAAATCACCTACCCATTCATTATTATCACCTTCACTACGCCCAGAGCATTATCTGTCCAACCTTGGGATCCCCATGCTCACTTGAAACTTGCCTGAGCGTCACCCTCTTCCAGGCTCCCCCACCCGCAGCCCACGGTCCACAATCCCGCAGCCCAAGCGCTCGTCAGCATCATCTACGCAGTACTCCGTACACAGTACACAGTACAATCCACAGCGGCATCACCACCACCATCATCGGCATCATCATCTACATTCGGACCTGCATCAAGCATATGCAGCACCACTTCACGCACATACAGCCCATTCTCATCCTACCGCCTCCATCGGAATCTTCCACTTCTCTTCCAGCAGCCATCAACTTCTCCAGCAATCCAGCTTCCTCTGATTGACCTGGATCCCTCATCGTTCCCGTCCTGCCGTATCCCGTCCGTCTCATCCCATCCCATCCCATCCAACCTCAAGGATATCCACACCTCCAATTCCGCAGTCCACATATACAGTACGGTCACTCCGTAATACCGTCCATCCATCCACCTGCCTCAGACATCATAGGTAGCTGCTACCTTGCCCCATACCTAACCTCAGATCAGCATCTCCACGTTCGCCCATCTCACTTTGCTGTCACTGCTCATTCCCAGCTGCCGTACTCCGCGCACTACATGCCGCATCCCGCATCCCACATCCCTATCCGAGCAAACACCCACTGCCCCAGTATCTTGGTCCAGTCTGCCTCCATTCATCGTCCGTTGGCACTGACGTCCCCGCGAACCAGTCCTTTGCGCGAAGCCGCCATTTCCCTGTTGCGACGTCCAATCTCGACCTTTTCGACCTTCACTCCTCCTTCAATGGCACTGTTCTGATCAGCCGCCCGTCTTCCCCCTTCAGCAGCCAAGCTTCTTCTTCTTCTTCTTCTTCTTCTTCTTCTTCTTCTGTCATTCCTTACCTTTCTTCTTCCTCCATTCAATCCCCTCTGACTCGGTCGGTTTCTTCTTCTTTTTAATCTCCCGTGTTCGAATTGTCTGTACGGGGCAGAGCTTCGCACCGTTGGGCCCTTGGAACCCCCGGATCACCATCTTGAATCGTGTCACAGAACCCGACCGACCGACCGACCGACCGACCGACCGGCCGACAACCAAGCTTCTGCTCTCCGCTCGTCGACCTCTTCTCGATCTCAGTCTTGCACTACCGCTCGCCAGTTGGACTGGCCTGGCTGAGCCAGCCGCCAGGCCTCCTTCATCCGATATCCGAACCATCCTTCCACTCGGTTCCGTCATCCCCTGCGGACCGACTTGCGACGATATCCAACCTCTCGAAACTTTCCCGCGATCCCGCGACCACCATACACCATGGTGAAGCTCATTTCACCATCATTCCCGCCCCGGCGGCCTTCAAGCTTCCTCCGTTACGCCGCCGTCGTCATCTTTTTCGTGGCTCTCTTCTACTACTTCGACCCCCGATACCCAAGAGAACCTCTGACACAGCTTCAACCAGAGAAGCCACAGCAACATCCGCAAACACCAGACGCGGTGCCTCCGGCAAAGGCTGATGGTGCCGAAAAGCCGCCCGTTCAACCCGAGGCGACACCGATACCTCCGAAAGACAAACCAGCGTCGTCGGCAGCTAAACCTCCATCAGCAGGAGATACCAAGTCCGAAGGCGGCATCGACCCGTCAAAAGGACACCCTATAGATGGTTTGATCAAAGAGGCCGACGAAACGTTTACCAAGTTGCTGGAGAAGGAATCCAAGACGCTGCCCGCCGCGGCCAAGGCCTATCGCGAGCGACGTGGTCGCCACCCTCCGCCGGGCTTTGACGCGTGGTTTCAATTTGCCCAGGACCGCAAGGCTGTCATTGTGGAAGACTTTTTCGACCAAATCTACCACGATCTTCAACCATTTTGGGGCCTCGAGCCATCACGCATCCGAAAAGAGGCGGCCGAATGGGAGATGGTTATCAAGGTGCGCAAGGGACGAGCCACCCGTATTAGCGACTGGTTCTGGACCGTCCACTGGACAAACATGCTTAAAACGATCGAGCACCTGCTACCCGACATGGACATTGCCCTGAATCCGATGGACGAGCCGCGCATGGTGGTGCCGTTTGAGGATATGGAGCAGCATTTGAGAGACGCCGCCCTGACGGAAGGGATGCCCGAGCCGAAAAAGGTCATGAACACATTCCAGGCCCTGCCTAGCAACAAAAAGGAGCTCGACCGCAACGTCAAGGTCAAGAGCAAGCACTGGGACAAAGTCACGAGTATGTGCCCTGCCAACTTCTCCTTTACCCCGCCACCTGTTCCTTTTCATGGGACGAACTACACCCTGATACTGACGCCCGTCTTTAGAACAATACTGGCTCATTGCCCGCCGTGGGTGCCCTCCCGATAGCCCTGCTCGACTGGCACAGACGCAAAGAACGTTTGACCATGCCCCCGCCGTCTCGACAAAGTATGCCAAACCGCACATGCGCGACGGCTTTGTCTCCAACTACACACTCTCGACCCATATCTGTCACCAGCCCGACCTGCAAGGCCTCAATGGCATATTCATCGAGCCCCTCAGTACAGCTGCCACGCCTCTGCTGTTCCCAATGTTTGGTGGTTCCAAACTAGCTGTCAACAACGAGATTCTCCTTCCTGCGGCCATGTACTGGACGGAGGAAGAGAGATTCAGCGGCGGTGGGTACCACGGGGGCCCCTGGAGCAAGAAGAAGGACTCGGCGCTCTGGCGCGGCGTCGCAACGGGTGGGCGCAACCGCGTGGATAACTGGCAAGGGTTCCAGCGCCACCGGTTCGTGGCCATGAACAACGCGACCAAGGTTACGGGCGCCGAAGACGGCACGATGGACCCCATCAACTTTTCCCTGCCCGATAAGATGTACAACCTCGCAGCGCAGGCGGTGGGTGGGCTGGGCGACTGGATCAAGTCGTGGGCCAATGTCGGGTTCACGGATCTCATGTGCGAGCCCGAGGGCAAGGCCGGAACGTGCAACTACACGAGCCCCCACTTCAACATCGCCGAGGGCGTCATGCTCTGGGAGATGTACGACAACAAGTACCTCCCCGACGTCGACGGCAATAGCTTTTCGGGCCGGTACCTCGCATTTCTGGGCAGCACGAGTCTCCCCATCAAGTCAACGCTTTGGCGGGAATGGCACGACAGCCGTCTCGTGGCATGGAAGCATTTTGTGCCGATGGACACGAGGTACAACGAATATTACGGCATCATGGAATACTTTATGGGGTACGGTGACGAGAGACCGGGCCATGACGCCGAGGCGGAGAAGATTGCCATGGACGGTAAGGCGTGGGCCGAGAAGGCGCTGCGCAAGGAAGACATGCAGATTTACACTCTGCGGTTGCTTCTTGAGTACGCACGCGTCACGGACGAGAGAAGAGAGAGGATGGGCTGGGTGCATGACTTGCTGGCGGAGCAGACATCTACTTAAGAGCGTGAGGCCTGGCAACAGGGTTGTTGTTCGTCGCATGGATACCACACCGCGGGATATGGGAACTCAAAAAGGCATGGCGTTATTTTTTTCTCGATTTCTTCTCCTTTTCGTCTCCTCGGGGAGTTTTTGGTGTAAATCGCAAGGGCCCCCCCCCCCCCCCCCCCCCCTCCTACCCCCTACCTGTCAGCTTTTTGGCTGTTTTGAGACTTTTGTCTACGGATCCTCCTGGGACTCCCTCGAACGGGAGAATGAGGAAGCGCGAGATCGGCATCATTCTAGTTATACACATAGGCCATGTGTGCCTGCATGACGACCAGTACCTATCACAACCATGTTTAGCGGCGCATCAAAGTGCCATGCGCATATATGACTGTGAGGGTGATGTTGGATGTTGTAAACGTGCTCGACGTAGGTTTCCGACCACGTACTACATGGCGTAAAAGAGGAATGGCACGGTCTTCGGAAGGCAATCCCGCAGACCGAAGACGACGTCTGCCGCCGATTGCCCTTTGTAGGCGAAGCCGAGCGAGGTAGGCATTGAGTAATGATCTCTTGATTCTTCTCCTCTTGCTTCTCTCAGTCGTCGTCGGCAAGCTCACCAGACGGGTCCGTGTACAGCAAAGTAAAGTCATTTGATCACTTTCACCAGACACATGGGGGGAGGATTGGAGACGAACTACGAGTCATAATCAAGTCCAGCCCGCCCCGCCCCCCCCCCCTCCCCGCCCCCTCTCCCCCCGAGTGATGGTTTAGGGCAGACGATTACGCGATGATAAGGCAATTTCGAGACGAGAAAGTGCGCCTCTTTTACGTAGAGTCAGGGAGCGTCCTTGCTTTCCTCGGGTGAGGGGTATCATCGGGAAAAGAGACGACGGAGACAATCAGACGAGCTCTTGTTCGGCTTCTATGCTTCCGTACCTCTATTTTAGAATAAATGCCAATGGGAATATTGATATGAAGTATTCTGAAAATTGTGATAATGATTTGAAAACATTGGAAGTATTTATTATTTATTAAAAATCGAGAACAGTACAAAATAGCTAACGTGGTTGATAAGCGAGTGGATCAGACAAGCGAGTGGATCAGCCGACCGCGACCAACATATCTTCCACCCTTCATAGGCGTTACGCCACAACCAAGCATGTCATCACAAAGTAATGAAGGCCAGCTAACCTTAGCGGTTCAGGCTATCAAAACGACACCAAATCTTAGTATCCGAGCGGCATCCCGGATCTACTCAGTACCCTTCTCAACCTTACGCCATCGTCTAAGGGGAAAGTTATCACGACGCGACACTATGCCTAGATCGCGGAATTTGACTACGCTTGAAGAAGAGAAGCTAGTTGAGTATATTCTCGACCTAGATTCCCGATCATTCCCTCCCCGCATTAGAGGTGTGGAAGAAATGGCTAATCGACTGCTCGCCGACCGCAACGCGCCCCCAGTTGGGAAGCGCTGGGCTTCGAACTTCGTCAAGCGACAACCACAGCTCCAGACGCGCTTTTTTCGCAAGTACGACTACAAGAGGGCCCAATGCGAAGATCCAAACGCCATAAACGCGTGGTTTCGCCTTATGGCGAACACAATCGCGAAATATGGTATTGTGGACTCTGATATCTATAACTTTGATGAGACTGGGTTTATGATGGGCCAGATTGCATCTGGGATGGTCGTCACGAGCGCCGAAAGGCGTTCAAACACGAAAATGATGCAGCCTGGTGACCGTGAATGGGTTACAGTCATTCAGGCCATTAGTTCGTCGGGCTACAGCGTCCCGCCGTATATCATCGTTGCAGGCCAATATCACCTCTCCACCTGGTACACGGAAACCAATCTCCCACGCGACTGGGTCATTGCAACGTCTGACAACGGATGGACAACAAACGAAAGAGGCCTAGATTGGCTCCAGCACTTTGATCGGCATACAAAACTGCGTGCAACTGGCAGTTATCGCCTCCTCGTCGTCGATGGGCATGAAAGTCACCACGCTGCCGACTTCGAGATATATTACAAGGAAAACAATATCGTCACACTCTGTATGCCGGCCCATTCGTCTCATCTGCTTCAGCCCTTAGACGTTGGGTGCTTTGGGCCACTAAAGACGGCTTATGGTCGACAAATTGAGGATAAGATGCGCCGGGGTAATACGCATATTACAAAGGAAGACTTCTTCCCTGCGTTTCGCGAGGCTTTTGCCCAAGCTATTACGGAAAAGAACATTCAGGGAGGTTTCAGAGGGGCTGGGCTTGTCCCTTTGAGTGCCGAAAGTGTGCTTTCAAAGCTTGATATCAGGTTACACACTCCAACACCTCCAGGATCCCTCCCAACAACACCCCCTGCGTGGACTTCTCAGACGCCAAACAACCCAACAGAAGCATCTTCTCAGTCTGAACTCATCAAAAGGAGGATCTCCCGCCATCAGAATAGCTCACCAACTTCAATTATTGAAGCTGTTGAGCATCTATCAAAGGGGGCGCGTGGATTTATGCACCAGATTGCGTTATTAAGGTCTGAGAACAAAATCCTTCGTGAGGAAAACAACCTACTAAGCCGGCGCCGGAGGGCTAAGAAAACACGTCTCAGACAAGGAGGAAGTCTTACTATAGCTGAGGCTGAGGACCTTCAGTCGCAGAGAGAAGCAACAGCTCAGATCGAGGAGGAAACACGCCGGAGTAGTGGTCGCCGACCGAGGACCGAGACGGGCCAACGGCGATGTGGCGTCTGTGGGAACACTGGTCATAATGCACGAACATGTCAATTTGCTGAAGAAATGTCTGAAGAAGAGGATCTTAAATAGTTTCAATTGAATTACTTTTCTTAGTGCTGCGTATCGGTCGCAAATGTGCTGTGGTCGCGGTCGGCTGATCCACTCGCTTGTCTGATCCACTCGCTTATCAACCACGTTACTTAAATTAACAAGTGAATAGTAAAGAAGAAGCTTTTATAAGCACTAAGGTCTCTCGTAGTAAAATCAATTGCTTTAAGCTCTCTGCTCCTCCGTCAAGGAAAATTTAGATAACCCTTTACGAAGGAACATAGGGCATAAAGCAATTTACTCTACCATGAGAGATCTCAGCGGTTGTAGAAGCTCCCCCTTCAACATCCACGAGTTTTTGCAACTCAAGCGCGAGTTTGGGTTATGGAGCTGGCGGGTGAGAGTGTCAGCATGCTTACCTTGAGGGTGAAACCCATTTCCAAGCCTCCAGAGTCCAGAACCCCCCCAAGCAAGTCATCTCTGGTCGGATCTGTATCTTGGAATTGGTGGACGGGGGTTCGTTGAACAGGCGGGCGGGCGGGCGGGCTAGCCCCGGACAGTGGATGTTGGAAGGACGTCATGCGGCCCAGCGGTGACCACACCCTGGGACTGATTGATAACAGAAATGTGACAAGGGACGGTAGTCAGGTAGATGCTTATGTAGTCAGATGGGGGACGAGGAATCTGAGGTGAGGCCAACGGGTAAGAATCAGGATGGGAGGGAGCAAGTCGAGGGATGCCGGCCCGGACGCGAGTCGCTGAGGCTTTCAGGTGTGAGATGAGATGCAGCAGCGGTGCGGGTCCGTGATGGAATGGCTGTGGTGAGTGACTCGTGGGTGGAGGGCCTCAAAACCGCAGTAGCACAATTGTGACCTCGGGGCTCGCACACATTGTACGTAATCGAGTATACTCGGGGTGTATCAGAGGTTCCTTACGGACACTTCGCCTGATAAGAGATAAGACTGATCGATAAGGCGAGTAAACCACATGCGGCGAGAAAGGTGCGAACCTCGGAAAATCGACACCTGGCTCTCTTTCATCAGTAGTAAAGATGCCTAAACGTACCAAAGGTAAAAGCCAAAGACCTAGGTTCGTTGATTGACAACGAGGGACGGGAGAAAAGAGAACCTCATGGAGAGGAAATGGCTGCAGTACTTTGCTATGCCTTGGAGAGGGTGGTCCGCATCACCCCCTCTTTCTCAACAAAAAACAAGAGCAGAGAGAAAAATGAGAAGAAAAAACTCTTTTTTCTCTTCTCCCTCTCTCTCTCTCCCGTATCCCGAAAAGGCCGAGATTCCGTCCGTGGTTCTTGGTTGTGTGTCGGGTGTGAGATTGTCATGCGCCATCGCGTCGCCCTGCCATTAGGGAATATCACCAAGTCCCGGGAGGTGAGGTGGACAAGCGGACGTGGGCGACGGGCCTCTTTAAATAATGCCTCGCGCGTTTTTCCGCCGGGTCACCTGCCGTTAAGTAGCACACCTCCGGGCACGCCAGACCCCTAAGTGCAGGTGCTCCAGCGGTGGCTCCAGCGGGCCCCAGCGATGTGCGGCGGGGGTGCTACCGTTCTGCGGCTTCTGCCTTGAAGACCTGGGCTATCGTGCGGCGCTACGCCGCCGACCGTGCCGCCAGAGGAGGGCCCCATAAGTGTCCGGGGGTCCACTGATGTTCCCCTAAGTGCAGGTCTACCCGTGGTGGGGATGTTCGGGGGTGGACCGTGGACTCGTGGAGGGCCCCAAGGGAGGAGGTTCAGGGGTCCGCAGCCTGGAACAACGCTGGTGTCATTGCCGTCGCCGTCGCCGTCGCCGTCGCCGGCTCTTGAGGCTGTCTTACTCCAAGGTACCATACATACCAGACAACTTTGCGTTCCTCAAGCTTCCATTGTGTCCGGTAGCGTCACCTCCCGTCCCATCAATTCCTCCTACACCACACCGTCCCACCTTCTATTGTCTCTTTTTCCGCAAACCACCCCGTCCCCGTCCAGGAATGCGCGCGAATGCTCCCGATCGAGGGGGCCTAGCTCTGACAGTGAAGCCTACCTTACCTAGGCGCGCTAGCCATCCGATGACTGAGGTGAGGTGGCCATGGTCATGGATGGCTGTACTTCGTGGCCCCGGAGCCCTTGGAGTCGCCGGTGACGGAAAGCCGTTAAACATACCTTGATCGCCCGCATTTTGCTGATTCAAGATTCCTCCTCCTCCTTCTTTATATAACACTCCCCAGCTTCTACCTTCCTCTTTGCCTCTCCTCCTTCCCCTTTTCTTCTTCTTCCACCTCCATCTCTTACCTTGATCTTCTTCACACACGTTGTCGTGTTGTACATCTTTCTCGCACTGAACCATTGTCAGCGCTACCACCATATTACTCCCACCTCCCGCAACAATAAAGCTCGCACTCGCGGCGCATCGCAATCATGGTCATGAACACGTCAATGGTCAAGTCCAAGTTCCTCAGCAACCCCGAGGATCTCGGCGTTGTTGCTGTTGGCTTCTCGGGCGGACAGGTAAGCATCGCCAACGTCCTCTACTCACGCGGCTCTTCTCCCCCCTCCAAGGCAGCAAACAAATCTGACCCCCTTGCCCCGCCTACAGTGTAAGAAAGGCGTCGATGCCGCCCCCAAAGCCCTCATCGAATCCGGCCTGCTCACCCAGCTCCGCGACGAGCTGGGCTACAAGCTCCACGGCGACGATGAGGTGCACCTCTACACCGACCTCGTGCCCGCAGAAGACCCTCCCTTCCGCAACATGAAGAACCCCAAGGCCGTGTCCTCCGTCACGGAGCGCATCGCCGATCAGGTCTACCAGCAGTCGCGCCTCGGCCGCCTGACCCTGACCCTCGGCGGCGACCACAGCATTGCCATTGGCACGATTGCCGGTTCCGCAAAGGCCACCCGCGAGAGACTCGGTCGCGAGATTGCCGTCATCTGGGTCGATGCGCACGCCGACATCAACACCCCCGAGACGAGCGACAGCGGCAACGTCCACGGCATGCCGGTGGCCTTTGTCACGGGGCTGGCCAAGGAGTCTAAGCCCGAGTACTTTGGCTGGCTCAAAGATGAGCACATGCTGAGCATCAAGAAGCTGGTCTACATTGGCCTGCGCGACGTGGATGCCGGCGAAAAGAGGATTCTGCGGGAGAATGGCATCAAGGCTTTCAGCATGTTTGACATTGACAGGTAGGTCTCTCTCTCCCTTGGCACTTTTCCCTTGCAAAGACTGGTGTCACATGGTCACGATGGACTGAGTTTTGTCGCTTTTCCTCTCCTTCGAATTGTAACTGACCTTGGCTTCTTACCAAAAGATACGGCATCGGACGCGTCATGGAGATGGCGTTGGCGCACATTGGCAACGATACCCCGATCCACTTGTCATTTGACGTTGACGCCTTGGACCCCATGTGGGCGCCGTCGACGGGCACGCCGGTCCGCGGCGGTCTCACGTTGAGGGAGGGCGACTACATCTGCGAGTGTGTGCACGAGACTGGCAGCCTTGTCGCGCTGGACCTCGTTGAGGTGAACCCGTCGCTTGCGGCCGAGCAGGAGGGCGCGGCGTCCGAGACGGTAAGGGCTGGATGCTCGCTTGTGCGGTGCGCTTTGGGAGAGTCACTGCTTTGAATCAGTTGTATTAGCACGCGCAGGGTGAAAAGGACATCATACAAGGAAGAAGGGTTATTCCACTTCTAGAAGAACCTTGTTTGCAGAAGGAGAACCGCGAGAGCTGCCTATCGATGGTTACGGGAAGGAACATGCTCAAGACTAAACGGAAAACGGAGGCAAAGTCGAATTTGGCGCGTAGCGCAATAGAAGACCGAACAGCAAAGGAAACTTGCTAGGAGTCAGACAACGGGGTTGAGGTAGACAGATACCAACAAACTACACTTTTGAGCCGACGTTTCCTTGTCACAGTATAAGGTAGCCAGTGAGGTGGTCGTTCGCATTGTCCTTTGACCCACGCTTGTATCAGAATGCAGTGCGCTCACGTGGCTCAATTGAAAGTCCACAACGACAATATCCAGTGTTGTGTGTTTGGGCACGAAGACGTAGGGAAAGGCTGAAGTCGTGGTGATGGGAGGGCGAGGGCGAGGGCGGCGGCGGTTCGGGTGCAAACCGGCAGGGAGAGGACGGGTGCCTTCCCCGGGCATAAATAAGTAGGTACGCGGGTCCCGGAAATCGGCCTGGAGCCGTGGGTGGCTGGCTGGGCAGGTCCAATGCGGGCTCGGATGACCCCACTTTCCTGCTCACCGATGTGTTTACGGAGTCAGGTAAGGATACCTTACCGCACCGATACCTTCCATTCGCCCAGCCATCGCCATTTCCAAATAGAAACAGATCTGAGCTTTGCCTTAAGGGACCTACCTACCTACTCGCAGATGAAATCTACAACATGCATACCTTACACATCGTAGACGACTTCTCAAATCACGCATCTATCCATACGGCAATTGCGGCGCAAATAGGTACCGACGGCAACTTTGGCTAAAGACTTGACGTGGCACCCTCCAAAACAGTCGCCGCACCAACGCCAGGGCAACCCACACACCACCATCCATTCGATCCGTCGTCGCAACCACCCTTACCTTGCCTTGGGTACCGTGCAGGCGTTAGGTCGAGTTCTACCTGACTGCAAGGCGCTCAGAAAGCCGTTCCTGCTTCCGTCCCTGCCCCCCCCCAATAATAGGACGAACTCTCTGGTACCCGACGAGACGAAACGAGCCCTCCTTCGCCCTCGACACAAAATACCTAATTAATCGACGCGATTGCCGCACGCGCATAGGCGATTGCATCCTGCCCAGCCTCGCCGAACGAACATAACCCAGCCCTACGGTACCCAACGCTGCCCATTGCGCTAGTCTGGGGACCGAGAGCATCAAGCACGATCGATTAAATACCGACAGTAGAGACACCTCCCAGCGATCCGTACCGAATCTCAGCGACAGTCACAATACCTAGGCGACGCGATCATACCTGACCACCATCAACCCATCATCCACAACCCGAGCTGCGAATAGCAAATACTGGCGCAATGGTGGCATCGACATTGGCGGGCAGTTCCCTCTACGAGAGGCGCGTTGTCGAACGCGTCCACCGCTATCAATGGCCCGGCGTCCAGCTCAACCTCTGGATCCTCGTCATGCTCGTGGCCGCCTGCCTCATCATCGGTGTTTTTGCGTCCTTTATCGAGACGCAGCAGCAGCTGCTTCTGCCCATTCCCTGGTGCGTTGTTCACACTGCTATCTCTACTTCGCCCTCGCATCCCGTCGTCTTGCAGTATGCGCCTGGTCACATGGCATATCAAGCTTCAACGAATACATGAATAGACGAAGGGTTCCGGCCAAGAGAAGAACTCTGCGAGACGAAGCCAATGCTAACATGATGAACCATCGTTCTTCCGCGCGCAGGTACTTTCCCTACTACATCACCGTCGCATCCCTCGTCATCCTCTTCATCGGCCTCCTCCTCTGGCTAGTCTTCCAGCGTCGTCTCCTCCCGGCCATTGTCATGATCGGCGCCTTTATTCTCTTCATACTATGGTTCGTCGGCCTTGTTGTCGTGAGTATTCAGCTCTGGGGCCCCGACGGGTCCGTCTCGAGCACGTGCAACCTCGCCGTGTTTAATCGGAGCCCGACGGGGCAGAGTCTGGATACCCTCGCGTGGCTGGAACAGAAGAGCATATGTGCGTTCTCCCCCCCCTTCCCGTCCTTCTTCTGCATGTCTTCGGTGTGATGTCTATCCCCTCTTTCTTTTTTCTGCTCAGATTTTGGAAATACATCCTGTGAACGGGAGAAATGCTAATACTCGAGTTCGTGATGTAGGCCAGGCATGGCAGGCGGTGTTTTCGTTTGCGCTTGTCGGTGCCATCTTCCTGCTTTGGATCATGGTCATGGCCTACCAAGTGTTTGCCAACTCGTGATGAATCCTGGCTGAGGCACGGTTGTCTCGGGAATCATTATTCTCATTTGACAAATTTGCCGCCTAGTGTCGACGATGGATACTAACTAAGGTCGCAACGTACATACTTTGACCGCATTCCATTTCGTGAGGAATAACGTCTAACACCCTCAACCATTTTACCGGAGTACTTCTTTTTGCCATAGTCCGACATATCCCGACATATATACGATTTTCAGCTTCGTCAGGCCTGTCGGCCAGCATGAGCATATCGCTAGTTGAACAACTAAAGACGAATTTACGAGTTTCGCCCATGATTTGATGGATTTAATGGCCAAGGTCGCCGTAAGGGGGGTTGTCGTCCGTCTTCCTTGCTTCTGGGCATTTGCACACATAGGCGTTTGGGGATTTTGGACGAAGCTTTCGCACGAGCTATGTTTTTATTTTATTTTAGCTGGACGACATAAATGCGTAATGAAGGCGTACGAAGATGAGTAGATAAGATATGGTATGCTGTTGCTATTTAGAAGGGCACGACGATGACAAGTAGACAATTGTGGATGTCAACCAAATAAGGTAGCGCAAGCAAGCATGGTAAGGCAAGGTTTGACGGAATGACAGTAGTACCTACATTCCGCATTGTGTCCGGACTGCGCTTACATTCAAGGCGTGGTCCGCTCTGGGACTAGAACCGACACAGTTCACCCTTGGATGTTTCTCGTCTGCATTCATCAAGTCAAGTAGTGTGGAACATGCAAACACACATTCGTTGCTAATGGAAATTGACCACGGACATTTTACCCACACTGATCTGATCGGTCGCCGTAGTCTGAGACAAGCCGAGTTGAAGATACACTGCATTTCGTCACCGTGATCGTTGTCGTCACATGATTATTCCTTTGATGGAAGCACGTGGGTAGGTAGGTAGATAGCATGCGTAAGTGGTAAGGTAGGTGGGAAGACGGGAGGGGCTCTTGTCGGTGAATCGGGGCCCAGGCCCAGGTTGAGCTGAAATGACGTAGCCAGCTGGCGGGAATACCTACAGCCTACGGAGTAAGCTACACCCACACAGCCACAGACGGAAACATGGATCGTACCGTAAGTGTCTGTTATCCCCGGACACCGTGCCACCGTGCGTTGCGGTTGCCGTTCAGCCGGGTAGATACCTTGAGTGCTTGGGAATGTCAGCACCGTAGGGATGTGGTGAGGTGCCTTAGCTCGAGAGCCAGACTCGATCTTTCAGCCTGCCAAGCATCAGGTCCTGAACTGGCGTTTTTTTTTTTCTTTCTCGGGGAATATCGAGCCAACATGGCAGGAATGGGTGAGGACCCTGAACTTCCACTGCTTGGCCTTTGAGTTGTGGTGCCTACATCCCTTGTGCCTGTGTGCCAGGTGATATCTTTAGGTTCCGGTTCAAGGTCCAGTTGAGGTTAGATGAGATTCTGCAAGACGGCTACCTAAAGCACCTATTCGCAAGGTAGGTACAGATAGACAAGATGCAAGATCCGGATTCTCTTGAGCGAGTGAGTGAGGTGGTGGTACCTTAGTGCCTTGCCTTTGGAACTGCCGGCGAATGACGTAGGTAGGGAACCTTAGTCTCTTTCTGGTTCTTTGGCGCAACGTTAGCTTCCTTATCATACTTTGGGTGTCAGAAATGGGAGGTGGAACTGGGAATCTGCTGCCAACTTGGGGGTGAGGGCATAGATTAGGTCATGGACCCACGGTGACACGGGTGGGAACTGGGATGGAGGGTCTGACGCCGATGGGGGAAAGCGGGGGAGGGGTCCTTCCTCTACCAGGTAAGGTACCGCTCTGGTTGCCTCCCAAACGTGAAGGTGAAGAACGGGAGAGAGGGATGGAAGGAGACGAGATGTATAAAGTGCCCAAGCATTCCTCCCACTCATTCTTGTTTTGAGATCCTTTCATACTCAGCAACAATACACGCACACGCCATCGTTCGCCAGCGACTACAACTATTCAACCAACCACCCACACCACATCAATCACAAACCACCACTCATCAACATGGACAAGCTCAAGAACCTCGCCTCCGGAAGCTCAACCAGCAACACGGCCGCTGCCCCAGGCCAGCAAAAGCAAGATCCTATTGACAAGGGTAAGCTAGATGCCTATGACCTACACCACAAACACTCGCGCAAATTCACTGACATCTTTTGATAGCCTTCGACATGGGCTCCAAGAAGGCCGGTCACGATTTCTCCCCCAGCATGGATGAGAAGATTACCGACGGCGCTCGTGGAGTCTATGAAAAGGTGACCGGATCGAAGGTCAACCCCAAGATTTCCAACTAAATGTACAACACTTGTTCCGATACCGCTTTTTCACGACAAAGGGATGATTGTGGGCATGACATCACAGCTCCCATATAGCTTTTAATGAATTCCCTATTACCACTCTGTTACCACATTATACGTGACAATTGAAATTTATCGTCCACTGGCAGTACAAACGTGCAACTGACGCGCATCGTCGGTGGCTACGGTGAAGTGAGAACTAATATTGAAATTGTGAAAGGTTACTGACGTCTGGTATGAGCCATTCGTTGCCTGACTGCTATGGTCTTGGAGCTGAAGCTCATTAGTGCCAACACATTGGCAACGGACGCGGCAGACTAGGCGGTAGATGACTTTATCTACCTAGTTAATTGAAGCGTGGCCTACCTTCGACTGGAGATCATTCTTCAGTGTCAGAGGAGCTATCCAAAAATTGGCCGATGAGGCGCAGGAATTCACGAGGCTTGGGTTCATCGAATAATACCGCCCAAGTCTTGGTTCAGTCTTGGAGGAGGGGAACGATTAATTACAGCAACGACCTGACCCAATGAGACTGGGTACCTGCACTGCAGTGGTCTGGACCTTCCCATCGCCTTAGGTAAGCATACTCTAGTGACCTTATGTTAGGCATGTAGGAGGCAGGCATGGCACCTTAGGATGAAAAGACCGGAAGATATCATTTGAGAGGGACCAAGCGCAACGCCGAGCCAGGTGTGTAAGGTACCCCTAATCGAGGCACCTACCTATCTACCTACGTGTCTACCTAAGAGGTTGCCTTATGTTTTCGTGGTATTCATTCTTGCGGATCAATATCCCGTCCTTTACTCGTTTCTGAGATGTCCAGCTCCGACTCCGAAGCAACTCTGGGATCTTCTACCTTCCCAGCGTGCACCTAGTTACAGCACATTAATTCTTCCAGCATCACACGACACCTACATCTTTGTAAAGTGCTGTGTTTAATAGGTAAGCGCGTACGGTAGAAATTTTGCTGGTACTTCGTTGTTGGTGGTTGCGGACTTGAGGTGGGAAAAAGGGTGGAAGGAACACCACAAGGTAGGTACGTGCTTTTCTTCTCTGCCCGCCCGGGCGCCTTCCAGTTCCATTCATGAGAAGCTAAGGCACATCCGCGTCCGGCGTCCTCGTCCGCATCCAATCCTCGACGCCCACCTCCCGCCCACGCACATGTTCTGTGCGACACGTTGACTTTGCTGTTGTTGCTGTCTCTCCATCCTGATGCTACCACGGACTCACGACTGACAAGGAGGGGGAAACTCTGACACTTCTTAGCTCAATCGGGTTTTTGTTCACTCAATACTTCTCTCATCCCTCACCGACCATTGATCACCAGCGCATCTTCACCTCCGAAACGCCTTCCAGCGCCCACCATCCCCCCGGCTCGAGCCCCCTCCCGAAACCGCCAATCATTCCCTCGAGGACCAACGACGGGCGAGACAAAGAAAAAACCACATCCCCAGCCAGCCGAATGCATCCCCCCAACCGCCTAGCCAATTCCCACCATGGAACATGATGAGACCCGGCCCTCGAGCCGCCCTAATCATCACGACGACTCCCGCCCTACTACCGCTCGCCGCGTTGGCAACGACGATGATGATGATACATCGCGCCTCAATCATCCAGGAAGCGCTACCGTTGACGAGTCGCAAAACACACCGACCAAACCTTCTCCTGACGAACAAACTCACAACCACGAACTAGGCCGCAGTGCCCCGTCCAGCACCCGTATCCATCTCGAACCCCAAAACGAATCTATGCTCCCTCCCCCGCGACCCCAGACCTCCGCCGTACCGGACACCAGCTTCGTCGAGGGCCCTACCTTTGACGACTCTTGCCATGGCGATTCTTTGGCTGAGTCTGCTGTTCGCGCACATCTCCAGGACGTCGAATCAAGCTTCGTCTCTCGTGTATCCCCGATCCCCACAATAACGCACGAGGGCACCGACGACACTTACCTCTTCGATGGCGCCGTCGCTTCTTCAAGATCCCCTGCCCCAGCCAGACAACCCCCTGCGAGTCCCAGCCCCAGTCCAAGGCTGAGATTCGAAGCGACCCCTGAGGAAGACTTGGCCATCAACGATCTTTCCGAACTGCGACCGCAAGACTCGGCCTCTGCCGACGTCTCCAATACAACTTCTGCCCTGCAAAATATGTCCTCCTCACCCGCCGCCGCCGCCGCCGCCGCGCGAACAATTTCCAGGGCCATTTCCAGCGCCAGCAACCGGACCGACAAGCAATCGGGGGAAATCGCCCCGGCTGACGACACCGACGAGGACCAATCGATATCTCGTGCAGAATCTGCTGCCGAATCTGTGTCGACGACCCTACGAAGCAAGCGCTCCGACGGCAGCCTTCAAGGGGGCTCTGTGGATGCCGGTAGCACGCCCGGCCACTCCCTCCGCTACGGCACGCGGCCAAAGTATCTGCGTAGCCGGGGCGCCAGCCAGCGATCTTCCGTCTCCTCTTTCATCACCAACCCCGATACCCACGATGAACTTGAGAGCGAAGGCACTGCCAATCTTGGCGCCGATTTTGCCCTGCAATCTGGAGGTGCCGCCGGCACGCTAAGCTTGCCCCGCAGTCTAAGCAGCATCTTGTCGCGCTCTGTGAGCATCGGTAGCATGGCCTCGGGTATGGACGAGCCCGAGTCGCTTCCGAGTCAACTCGAGACACTTGAAGAGGACGACAACCGGTTCTCGCCGCGCCGACCGGCCCGGAACGAAGACCTACTGGCTACGCCGAAACCTTCCAAGGAGAATCTAACCGCACCCACTGACACTGTCATCGCCCGGCATGTTAGAAATGTGCAGGTCCCTGAGTCACTGGCTATGGAGTATAGGACCAAGAGCGGCTTCGTGACGCCCCGCAAGCCCTCAGACATGCCGCTTGGCGCCTCCACGAGGTCGGGTAAGAACCTGACGCTCAAGGAACAGAGCAGCACGATTGAACGTCTGTCCAAAGAGAACTTTGACCTTAAGCTCAAGGTCATGTTCCTCAGCGATCGCCTTGACAAGCTATCCGAAGAGGGTGTTAAGGAGATGATCTCGGAAAACGTGGAACTCAAGACGAGCCTCGCCGTCATCCAACGTGATAACAAGGCCTTGCGAAGGCGGGTCAAGGAGTTGGAGAAACAACTGAAAGACGATCGGGATCGCCCTGGAACAGCAAAAAGTGGCGGATCGTCAAACGACAGCTCCTCCAACCTGGATGCCCAGGAACGCGAGGAGGAGTTGACATACTTGCGTGAGCGCGTCGAAGAATACATTACTGAGATGGAGAGGCTTCGGAACGAGAACATGTCAAAGGAGGCAGAAAAGCGTAAGCTCAGCGAGGTGGTCAGGTCGCTAGGCGAGAGGACCAGCGGCAATCTTGGCAGCCAGGAAGAGGCGGACGTGTGGAAGGACCTTCTCGAGCAGGAGACGGCTCGACGCGAGCAGTCTGATGAGGACAACCGCAAGCTCCGCGACGAGATCTTCCGCATGAAGCAGGAAGCGAGTGGCGGCCACGGTGGCATGCATCACACCACCAACATTTACAACATCACCAAGAAGCACAGACAAGTCTCTCCAAGTCGCCCTGTGTCCGGTCTATCCGGCGATCTTGAAACAAATGGTGGCTTTAGTGCGGCAAGTACGTTGGTGGACGAGCTGCGGAGAGAAAGTGAGCAATTGCGACACGAAAACGCCGAACTGAGGCGCGAGGTTGGAGCGCAGACATCTATGCTCACGTCGAGGAACCGTGAAAAGGAGCGTTTGTACCAGGAGATTGAGGATCTGAAAATGGCGCAGCGGCGAGGAGGACCGGCACCATCAACGGTGGACTCCCTTCTTGAGCGTTCGGCATCCCGCGCCGGCGCGCACCACCGGTCGATGTCGAGAGTCAGCGCCAGCAGGACGCAAATGACAGAGATTGATGAGTTGGAGCGCGAGGAGTTGGAGAACAAGCTTGCCGAGACGCGCGACAAGATTAGCGAGATCAAATTACAGAACCAAGAGCTCCAACGGGAGCTAGAGGGATGCATGGCAGACTTCGAGAATGCAGTCGAAGGTAAGAGCCAAGCCGAGGAAATCGCCGTCACACTCCAGGAAGATCTCGACAATGCCATGAATGACCTCGTGGCTTTGCAGGCCGAGAGGGACGAAGCACTCAGGGAGCAGGCGGATATGGAAACTGAATTCGAATCGCTGCGGAAAGAAGCCCAGGAGGAAATCGATGCATTGGAGGGCGAGGCCGACCAACGAAACGACGTGATACAAAGGCTGCAGTTTGAGCTCAACGACCGCACAGAAAACTTCGATGCGCTGCAGGAAGAAATGCGCAAAATGAGCGAGGCGCTGGTGGGGTTGGAGGACGAACAAGCAGCCAAGATTGGCAGGATCAAGCAACTAGAGCAAGAACTCGCAGAAGCCAACAAGGAGTCAGAGGAGCTCGAATCTAAGCTGCTCGAGTCCAACGACAAGGCACAGCGGCTCAGCGTACAACAAGAATCCAGCCAGGGCGAGATTGCTTTCTTGCGCGAGGAGCAGGAAGGCGACAAGATCCGCATCGGTGACCTCGAGGCAGCTCTCGCTAATACCGAGCAGAGCTTGCGCGATGAACGCGACAGGATCAAGGAGCTGGAGCAGCGTCTCGTTACCGAGCGTCGCCAACACGAGATGGTCTCCAACCAGGAGAAGGAAGAGGTGACGCAGTTCGTCAACGAGCTCAACCGCGAAATGTCGGCGGCCAAAGACGAGGCTCGGAGGTTGCGTAAGAATCTCACCTCACGCGAAGTCGAGGCGACCGAATGGAAGGAGCGGCTCATGGAGTTGGAGAACAATCTCAGAGAGGCACTGGGCGATCTTAACGGGACACGATCCAGCCTTCTCAAGGTGAGCTGGCCCACAACATCCATAAGAGACACAGGCACTAACAAACACAGTCGATTGCAAAGCTTCAGCGCGAGTTAGAGAACACCATTCGCGAGCTGGACACAACCAAGGCATCGCTCGTTGAGAAGGATCGTATCATTAAGCAGCGCGACGCCTTGCTCGAGTCTCACGGCCTGGAGTCTCGCAAACTTGGGGCAGAGCTCGAAAAGGAGAGACACGCGCATGAAACGACGAAGAATCAGTTCGAGACATTCCAAAAGACACACTTGCATGTGTCGAGGACTGTCAGCACACAGGACCTACGTATCTCGGAGCTTGAATCTTCGCGGACCCAGGACAAGAAGAAGATTTCGCACCTCGAGGCGACGTTCCGGGGTCAGCTCAATGAGCGCAACAACTTGCTGCTTGTACTGTGGACCCGACTTTCGGCCCTTTGCGGCACTGACTGGGCGCACGACAATAGCCTCATCAATGGGCGCGCGCTGCCTTCCCTGGAGGCTGTGGCTACTATGCTGCCCGGATTCAGCAAAAACCTGCTGGGCGCAATCAAGATGATCGAGACCATGGTGGGCGGGTTCTCGTCTCGCGTCAAGAGCGTGGAACGGGACCTGTGGCGCGAGTATCAAAGCCTCGAGAACAACCTCGAGATCCGGACTAAGAAGCTGGAGCGGCTGGAGACGATTGTGCGCAACAGCATAGCATCCGGATCCCTAGGGTCCTACGAACAGGCTAGAATGGAGCGCCTCGAGGACGCTTACCGCCAACTCAAGGTTGAAAATGCGACACTACGAACCGCTCAGGACGTCAGGAGTCGGGCTGCCTATTCAGCAACCAACGACCCCAGCGCGGTTATCACTGAGCCCGGCAGTGGAAGCCCGTCGCCGTCCATTCCCACAGGACCTCGAGAGCGAGAGAGGAAGCCTCGCAAGGGTGAGAGAACATCGACAATGACACGCAGCGTCTCCAGCCATGCGGTGACGACGCCTGGGTCAACTAATCACAACCCATTCGAAGCCACGTTGGCGGAGAGAGACCCAGCAGACAACCGCTGGATATTCAAGCTTCGCGACCTCGAGAACAAGCTGAAGGCTGAGCGCGAAGGCCGCTCGCAGGACCGTAATGCGGCAAGACAGCGGCTGGGTGGACTCGAGACAGAGAACCGTGATCTAAGGACGGAGGTGAACCGCATACGCAGGTCCAACGGACAATTAGGGGACAGCTGAAGAAGCAAGGTCGGCTGAGATTGCGTCACGGGGGGGTTTCATTTGTATTGTTCCACCTCTTGTACCAACACCAAGGCCGGAATGTGTGGGCCAACATCTCCTTTGTTTTTGTATTTCCATCCTCTTCGGCATTTGTAATTTTCAGCGACGAACGGCCTTTGCTGGGGGGATCTGGAGGAGTTTTGCGGACAGGCCCGCCTTTTGGGTACAACAAGTCTAATACCAAAGCCTCTCTCTCTCTGTCTGGCGTTTTTTTTTTTTTTGTCAGCCTTGCCTTCCGGGAACAGACGATTTTACACCACAACTCTCTTGTGCCATTCGTGCTGTAACGTGGTTAGTTGTAAGATGTCGTTGGCTGACGGTCTAATTGACAAGCTGCAAGCCTCTTCAAAAGAGGTCATTATTCGCCCTCGTTTTCCCAACCAAGTGTGTGGTGTTTGGCTTCTCGGGTGTGGCGTCCAGTGTGGCACATAGTGCCAAAGGCACCACTCGCCTTTGAGGCGGGGAGACTATGGCCGCGGATTTACCGTTCCACCTGCTTGCGGGGTTCCCTCCGCCTTCACTTTTGCGCGAGAGCCACCCATCTCAGCTCAGGTATCCCCGCCGTCTCGTCGTTGACAACTGCCCACTGCTATTTCGAATTCGGTCACGCGCGGAGAGAGCACAACGGAACGATGCATGTCATCATGCGAGACTAACTAGAGCGGGGCAGACCGGGGGCTCCGCATTGATCTTGCTAGTTATGGATGTCCGCCTCGAACGCGGGGGATACCGGGGGGGGTGTGTGTGTGTGTGTGTGATCTATGGATGCAAGTGTGGGCAAGCTACGCGGGTTTTCCTTTGATTGTCGAGTTTCTGTCCAGCTTCCCTGGAATGATCTTTCGGCAGTACCAAGTTCAGAAGGCCGGCCACGTCGCGGGCGATGTGACGAGGTGGGTGTTGGTAGAGGGCCTTCTCGTCCGGTATAAGAGGCCAATTGGGCCTGCTTCTGTTGATGATTGTCGAGTCTATTATCATTGGCGAGGTCGACGGGGTCAATATCCAACGAATAGCATACCTATTTGGCCATGTTGTAAAGTGAGAGCACTTCCCGTTTTCTATACCTTTACTTTCTCTCCCAGCTTGGACAATTTCAATACATGAGATCTAGTTCCTTGGTTTTCCCAAACCCTCAAAACCACTATTTCGAGACTCGTCTTGAAGAAGCCACTATATCTCCATCAGCAACAGATCACCAAAAATGCTGCGTCTCCACAGCCTGTCCCGGGGCCGGACACACACCCTTCTCCGCCTCCCATCATCATCATCATCATCATCATCATCATCATCATCACAATGCCGGACAGTGATGATGAGCGCCGCAGCGCCAAAAAAGGAAGGCGACATCTCCTCCGTCTTCGTCTCTCTTTCGGGCACCGCCCGCGAAGCACTCCCGGACCGCTTCCGTGTGCTCAAGGAGGACCTCATGGCGGGTCACGAGGATGCCGTTGTCGCGTCCTGGGCCCGGCTTCTGCGTGCTTTGCGGGAGGAGAACCAAGTGATCCGGGAAAAGGGACCTGCCATCATCCCGAGCGTGGAGTGCAAGGACGTGGAGGGCGATATTGAGAGGTTGAAGGGCGATATCCGCAAGCGTGGCGCCGCTGTCGTTCGTGGTGTCGTTGATGAGAAGGAGGCTAGAGCATATAAAGAGGAGGTTGAGGAATATGTCAGGAAGAATCCGTCCACAAGAGGTAAGCTGTCTACACGTCCATGTACACAGTCCTCCCCTCTCTGTAAACAAATCCATGACTGACCAAGTCCTTACGAAAAAGCTTTCCCTGCAGACAACCCCCAAGTCTACGAGCTCTACTGGTCCCTCCCGCAACTCAAAGCCCGCTCGCACCCCAACATGCTCAAAGTCCAGTCGACCCTCATGCGCTCCCTCTGGAACAAGTCCCCCTCGGCCGCCATCTCTCTGCAGCCTCTGACCTACGCCGACCGCCTTCGCATCCGTCAGCCCGGTGACGCAACGTTCGCTCTCGGCCCCCACATTGACGGCGGGTCGGTGGAGAGATGGGAACGCGAAGGGTACGGCAAGGCCGGGACCTACGACGCCGTCTTCCGAGGCGAATGGGAGAGGTACGACCCGTGGCACGTCAGCGCCCGCGTCGAGGCCGTGCAAGACTTGTACAACGGCGCCGGCGCGTGCAGCATGTTCCGCATGTTCCAGGGTTGGCTGAGCCTGAGCTCCTGTGGGCCGAGGGAGGGGACTCTGTTGGTGAACCCGCTGGTGCAGCTCTCGACCGCCTACTTCCTCCTGCGGCCTTTCTTCCAGCCACGTAAGGAACTCTCTGCGAGTGGTAGCGGGGCCATCGCGGGAGGAGGGGAGGCGTTCTTGCGGGAGGAGAATTGGGCGTTTACGGGCGGCGAGGCGATGAGTAGCGAGCTACAAGGGGCGACGCCGGGACACGGGCAGGAGCTCAGCGAGGCGCTGCATCCGCATCTGCAGCTTGACGCGACAATGGTTCATATTCCGCGTATCAAGGCTGGGGACTTTGTCGTTTGGCACGCCGACCAGATCCACGCCGTCGATAAAGTCCACCGGGGACAGGGGGACTCGAGCGTCATGTACATGCCTGTGTGTCCAGCGACGGATCTGAATGTCGGGTACTTGGCGAGGCAGCGGGAGGCGTTTCTTGAAGGTCTGCCAGGGCCGGACTTCCCCGGCGGAAAGGGGGAGAGCGAGCACGTGGGGAGGCCTGGAGAGGATGCCATCCAAGGGTCGGAGGCGAGGCGGGCAATGGGGTTGGAAAAGTTGGTTAGCGCCGGAGATGGGCATGGAGAGAGGGATTTGATCCAGAGGGCGAACAAAGTTTTGGGGTTTGGAAGGCCGAATGAATAGGGGTGTCTGAGTTGGCGTAAAGTCTTGGCTCAAGTATTAAGCTAAAGTAAGTAACAATAAGAAGCGAGCATATATGTCCGATCTGTCACTTGTATCGCGCACACAGATCGTATTCAATGTTTTTTTTTTCTCTCACTCTCTCTCTCTCTCTCTCTCTCTCTCTCTCTCTATGAGTCTGCATGTGCGTCGTTCTTCCTCCTCTTCCTCAGTACGAATCCGTAGTAGTCAAACGCGCTCTCGCCATCGGAGAGGACATGCATGTCCATGACCCAAAGATTGTCGGCATTCAGCAGCGGCCGCATAAAATGAGGCTGTCTGTAGGTGATGTACAGGAACACCCCATCGTCCTTGAGGGCGCGATGGACTTCGCTGAGGTACTTGGCCGTATTTTCGCGAACGTCGTCTGGAGGCGACCACGGGCTCCCGTGGATCATGGCGTCGAGAGTGCTCTTATCAAAGGCGACGTCGACGGAGGCGGTCGGCGCGGCTTCGGGCATGTCGCGGATGTCGGCCCATTGCCACTCGATGCCGGCCACGTCGGCGTGTCGTTGTCTCATGAGGTCGACTACGACAGTGGAGAAGTCTAGGCAGAGCTGGTTCTTGTAACCGCGTGCCGAGAGGTCGGCGGGGATGGTCTATGGTGGAAATGGTGAGCAATAGAGTTGGGCTAGAGGTGAATCCGGAGGCGAGGGGCACAAGATACATACGCTATCCCCAGATCCGAGGTGCATGATACGCGGGGAGGTGTTAGGATGACGCTTGGAAAAGAGGTGCTTCTCAAAGAACGGTTCGAGAGCCTTGAATGTGCGAAACCATTCGTGGGTTGGATTTGAGCCGTCCGACTTTGTATAGCGCCGGTCCCAGAACTCGGGTGTGGTCAGGGCCTCGGCCTCGCTGAGGTCTGCCATAGGGTGCTGTCTTGTGTAGTATGAGAATCCAATTGATGATGATATTGGCTTCAAGTGATTCGGTGATGTGGGCAGTTTGTCATGGAATTCTCGCTCACTCATCTGTGTCTGAAATCAATTTAGGTACTCATGTCTCACTGAGACCACCAAACACGCTCTCCCCACCACCCCCACCCCTCTCACACGCTGGCCATACCGTACCGGAGAAACTCACGCTATTCGTATTCACGCTAGCCCGTGCACTCGGCGAGTTATGCCTCTTCTCATTATCCAAAGCTTGTTGATATCCGCCCCTAACATGAGATTTATATTTTGAATAGAGGTACGTATTGGCCAAATACCCTCCGTAAGACAGCGAGAGAACGAGCTAGAGCAAATACGAATAAGTTTGCCATCCAATTGACTCACTTTGTAACCTGGCGTATGGAGGGGTCAAAACGATTCTAGCACCGCGACCAGGCGAACGATGGTGGGGGCGGGGCACTGAGCTCGAACTGGAGATTCCAATTGGTGAACGGTCATGTCTCGGTGCCTTACATAATCAGCACAAATGTTGCCAAGTGAGGGGTTGGTTCACTCAACTCAATTCAAGATGTCAATCAAGGTAGATAGATGCAGCTCCGGCTCACCAAGTTCACCAGTTACTACATATGTGATTATTATCTCAGGAACCAGGTGCATAGTACAGTCTCTCAATTAATACATTCCTCAAGTACTCTTTTCTGCTTGTCAATCCTTTTGCCGGAACTCTGGTGGAAGTGAATAATGGTGGGGGTATCTGGTATCTATCTCATCACCACTTATGCCCTTGCAGCCTTCACTCGAGGGTGTTTGTTCAGCGTGTGTTCAGCGTGTGTTCAAGTACCAGTAGTAGTCATCAAGCTCGTCTAATTCATCAACTTTTTGTTTACCCGTGACATGTTCGATCCCCGATGCTTCTGGGCGCCCCGCCATCTCGTGACGGCTCATTATGCTTCTCTCGCCCATCGTTGCCCGATTCTCCTGACTTCCAGCCTCCCAAATCCCTAATATAAACCATGGTTGCGCCTTACTGTTGCTGCGTGATGGGAGCCGCAAAGGGGGTAAGGTAGTCGCCCTTGCCGAGCTGGACGCCCTTGGAGCGGAGGATGCCGTAGGCCGTGGAGATGTGGAAGAAGAAGTTGGGCATTCCGTAAGCGACGAGGTAGTCACGGGCCTTGATCTGCATCTCGCCTTTGCCGAAGCCGAGTCCAAGGGGCACGAGGGCATCGGTGCGAGCCTCAAAGGTCTTGGGGTCGGCGGCCTTGACGATGGCAAGGGCGTGCTCGACGCGCTGGCGCAAGTCACCGAGGCTGGCAAAGTCCCTGCCCAGGGCCTCGGGTTCGGTGCCCTGCACGCGGGCGACGATCTTGATGGCGCAGTCGGCCGCGACAAAGTACTGGAAGCTGAAGGGCAGCATGTCGTCTGCCAGCTTCCAGTCGAGAATCTCCTTGGGGTCGATGGACTTTTCCGTGGCGTACGCCTCGGCCTTGGCCACAATGGTAAGGAGCGAGTTGAGACCCGCAAGGAGGAGGGGCACGGAGGCGTCGTACAGAGTGTAGGTCATGTTTGCGGTTGTCGGTCGGGTGAATGTTTGATGTTCTTTCTTCTAGCGATTGATGATGAAGGGTTGTTGTTGTGGTGCTTCAAGACTTGCAGGAATGTACAGAGGTCGAGGAGGGGCTTGAAAGCTTTATATATTCTCAGCCGCCGTCCACTTGACAACACAAGGTAGTCCCACGAAAGAGCGGTGGAAGCAGGAAGCGTTTGGGGCTGATCCAAAAGCCCCCTGACCTGGTGCAGGTAGCTGGTGATCGGGCGTTTCTGTCCAGTTCGACGAGCGGGTCTGGTTGACTAATGCGCCGGTGCGGGTTGGAGTGTTGTATTACTGGGGAACTCGACACGGCAACCTTCATACTCACATACCTATCCGTACCTCACTATGCAGCGCCCTCGTATAATGCTATTGAATCTCTGGCCCGTTTGTGGCCCCTTGCGCTGTGCGCGGGCACTCGCGCGGTCCATGCCGGGGCTGTCTCTTGGTCTCCCACTCGATAGGCAAAGTTAGCTAATGGCCGGCCACCATCGTGAGTAACGAGCATCTTACGAGGCCGGGCTCTGTACGGATACCCTGGCCCGAGGGGTGAGACCCTGCTTCGGAACTCGGGCCAGAGAGCCACCTTAGCGAAACAAAAGGCGGCGTGGGCCAGGAACGGAGCGCCCGCTGACAAATGCGTGTCTTCCTTCGTTCAGGCTTCCCTCGTCCATTCTCCGCCGTATGGACGAAGCCCGAGTCGCGGCTGCGGGCTGCGGGGACCGGGTGAGAGAGCCACTGGCATTCCTTGTGTATGTACCTCGGGAGGAGTTGCATCCGAGCTGTTGCAGATCCTTTGGCCTAGTGGTGCCGAGAGTTGATGCTTAGAAATCCACAACGGCTGCAGTAGGTAGGACAAGAAAACCATCAGGGTGATCTATGTTCAGTAGAAGAAAAATCTAGAATGAGATGGAGATAAACTTCATGACAAGGGGCATACAGTTTACGAGCCTCAGATGGCAGATCTAATGTTAAAATGAGATAATAACCAATCGGGACTTGGATGCAGACAGCGGCCCCAGAAGCTTATATGGACGAAGACACCACCTCGCACTCTGCAAATAGAGCGATGGGGTTAGCATTCGTCATATAGCTGTGTTTTGGCGTGCTCACCAAAAAGAAGCCTTCAAGTCTTGCAAAAGCCAGCATGGCAAGCAGGGAGAGAGAGAGAGAGAGAGTGTGTGTGTGTGTGTGTGGATCAACAGAATGTGGACCTCTAAAGGGAGTCTATTCCCCGGCACCAACAAGATCACCTTTGCACCAGCAATCAGATCCAAATACAGCAGGGGAAAGGCGGCCAGCCGTCAAAGGGAACAACGTTGAACACACCTCGATCTCGACCGAGTTGGCTTGCTAATCAGTGTCGAAAAGGTATCGCGCGAGCATTCTAAGCGGGCTAACTCTACTCCGTACCCCGCCACCTCCGGGCCGGCCCGGCCCAAACAAGCCAGGAACCCAAACCAAGAGGAGTGTTCTGTCAACTCCGCAATCCTGGCAAGTCGCAATGACGAGTTTGCAAAGAAAAGACCACTCACGTAGTTCATGTCATATTCCAGTTCTCCGTACCTCCGGCGCTCCTTAGTCTGCTCTTCTCACCAGGGCGTGAGGCTCCTCATCGATGTGCTCAAAGGCGTGGGGCTATTGATCTCATTGCAATAAGGTCGCTGCTCTTGGACCAAACGATTTCAGCAAACCTCTTGCGTGAGTATCGAATATAAGGCGCTACAGACAACTCATCAGCTTGTATTTCTTTTCTGCTCCTCGGGAGATACCAACCTCAACTTCACTACAACTACAAGTTTCAATGATGCTTTTGCTCAGTCTCCAACTCCCGTTCCCAAATTTCGTCAATAACATCACCTCTGCCTTTCACACACTTCCACTGCCCCATTCCGTACTCCTTTGGAGCAACTCGGCAACCTCTACCACCTCCACCCACAATCAAGTTCCCAGGTCTATACTTCTCGTCCCGTTCCATTCGTCGTATCACGCTTCCATGAATCCTTACTTTGTCGGGAACGTCTCGCACTTCTCCCCTCGGCAGTGGCCATCTGATCGGGTTCCAACTGCCGTCTGGCCCAAGATCTAGTCTCCGAAATGGGAGATACTCCATCACCCGCCACATGAAGACGCTGGCACGATGCATGCCACATTTAAAGTCAAGTGAGTCGTGTATTTTGGCTTCATGTGCCGTCTGCATCATCACGTCGAACGCTAAGGCCGTGCAGGTGTGCGTTGATGTGTCCGAAATTGCCGCGTGTTCTGTCGCGGAAGCGGTGGGTGATGCAGGCTGAAAATCCATAGGGGGGGAAGGCGCATCGACATGAATCTCCGGGACTGCGATCGCTTCGTTCGGCATGGTGGACGACGACTGCCTTGCAGTTCGCCTGTCTGCTCCGGCTACTGATTCAACACAACCCAGATACTCGAGCTGGTCGAGATCAAATGTCAACCCCGCTCGCATGGCTTCTCTCACCATCCACACGAGGGGTATGTGACTGGCATTCTTGTAGCCAGGTTTGGCGTCCCATCCTCCGCCGATGTCGCCATGCCCCCCAGAGAACCACACTTCATCAACATTTTGGTCGGCTTCGTCGTCATCCGAGTCGTAAGTGAGGTCTTCCATGGGTGGTTTGGAGTTGATGGATGAGGCATCATGATCCGTATACGCGTTGCCTGTTCGATCAGTTGCCCGAGATCTAGACCTGGAGCGACTACGGAACGGAGCCGGATGGTCTGCGTCTTCCTCTTGTAGATGTACTCGACGCCTACCGCGGTCTTCTTTCGCCACGGCGTCGTCAGGTGCAAGTGTTGAACGCCGACCTGGACGATACTTTTCTTGGAACTCCTGCACTTTATCGTTGAGGGGGTGGTGGTGTTCCATCAACCGCTCAGCTGCAGTTCTCCTCCGAGACTTCTTAGGCTCTTGGTAAATGAGATCCTGGCGGAATTTGGCGCGTCTTTCATCAATACTGACAGCATGTCTGATGACTTTCGCAGAACTCCTTGCAGTGTATGGGAACTTGCTGCGCTGCATCCAAGCCGTTTCAAACCGCGGCACGCTGTTCACGGTGTCGAACAACCCCAAGAAGCGGATCCGTCGTATCGGTCGCGAGAATGTTTCCCTGAAGCCTTTGAGAAACTGGTACATCTTCTCTCTGTCTTCTTTACCTTCCGGTGTTGAGTTCGTTCTTCTGCATTGCCATTGGGAGAATGAGCTCCACGCGAAAGCGACCATTTCCTCGTTGCCATGGGCAAGAAGACCGACAAAGTCCAACATCTCAGCTAGGAACCTAGCAACATAGGCACCTCGAGAGAAGCCGAACATGTATATATCGTCTCCTGGCGAGTAGTATCTCATTAAGAATCTGTATCCGCCTACAACGTGCTGGTCGAATGACGAGCCGACTGCAGAGTCCTTGGCCATCTGGTACCAAGACCTGCATTTGGCCCTGACACCGTTGTGCGTCAGGTTGTCTGACACAACATATGTCCCTATGCCGGCTGTAGTGATACGTAATCTTAGTGACATGAAGCGTATATGCAGAAGTGGCGGCACTCACGCTGATAGTAGTGATCTAGAAACACTGTCAGCCTCGTCATCCCAAAGACGATTGCATGCCGAAAGTCTTACATTGATCATCCGCATTGCTGTCGAGCATGCGGAAAATTTTGAGAATATTGCTGTCGCTGTCATCTCCACGAAACTTGTTACCGGTACCATCGAAGCATAGGATCAGCTTTCTACGGCCACCGCTGTGCTGAACTCCTTTGCAGGTTCCATTGACACAGTGGCCACTCGTGTTTGGTTGATGTCGGCTGTTTCTTGAGGGACTGCGCAAGTAGGTCTGCATTTTGAAATAGAAAAAGACGCAAGGTCAAAGAAGGCTATGTTTGAAATGCCGGGTTGGTGTTGAATCAAAGTCCGCCTCGGTGCTGACGAACATGAAATGTCATATAAAATCATCTAGGTATGCCACAGCAACCTTGGTACGACGGCTAACATTGAGGCACTCTGCAGCCCGTTACGTATTGATTGAAGGGCAATGTTTACCCAGGAACCCTGTCTGTTTCTGACTAGTGACCATCGTCAAAGTGCAAGCGGATGATTCGGACCTGATCTGCGTCACCAAGCCGAATTTGAACACTGTTTCACTCACACGGCTAGACAGTATGCCGAATTAGTAGATTGGGTTGGCAGTTTAGAAGCCCTACACATGTCAAAACCTCGCAAGTCGGCGAATCAACAAAAAAGAAATTACAACCAACCACATCCGGTACCGGCCACAGTCTCCAGGGTCACCCAGCTTCCGCCTCATGAGATTAGCTTGAGACAGGTCTAACATTCGCGCTGAAAAGAGAAAAGATAAGAACGAAGTACGACAAGCTCGCACTAGGTAGCACCCGAGGCGTGCCAAGGGGGTTCTTGGAGTAGAGGGAGACATAGCCAATTTCCATGTATGGATAGAAAGGGAGAGATGTTTCGAGTCCTCGAGACATGACACCAGAAACGGCAGGTGAAATCACGAATAACACCCTTATTTCGGACGCGGTTGTTCCGAGACCTGCTCATGCCCCGTTGTCCAGTTGCACATACCTACTTACGGATACAAGCTGCTAAATCCCTGAGAAAACATGTGGGTATGCGATAAGGCGCGAGACATGAGTGCGCCAAGTCTCATATATTACTCTGGCATCCCGTGGAAGACAATCCACTCGGATTACCTTGGTGCTAGTAAGGATAGGATGGACTTAACATGACGCATAAGAACTATTGCCTGATCTGCAAATGAGCGAGTCCTGAGACATAGCTGATCGTTGGTAAACTCTTCCTAGGTTCATTTCCCCATCTGTGTTGTATGCCAAGGAACTCAACCTACGTACCGACAGCAAGCACGCCACTAAACATACCTACCAATTCGTTCAATGATGCTCCCTCGAAGAAGCAAATAATTCCAATTGATTACATACCAGCAAGGTTTGAAGTCACGATATTTGTTGCACAGCATATACGATAATACGGACACCATACACGGCTGGTTGTGTACATGTGAAACGTTCTTAAGTGCCATGCGAGTTGCAGTGACCCGGGCAGCTACTATTGGGTATCGATGCACCATCATCCTCTGAAAATGTGAGAGTGATGTCTGATCCGAATCATCGTGGACGTTGTATAACATCACAACCGGTGAGTTTCTCCACCCCGCTTTCGTTGAAGGATTGCCCACGTAGCGGCACAGCGGTTCCCGAAGGCGCGTCTCACGATACTAAACTAGTGCATCGGAAAATGCCGCAAGCGAATGGGCTGCAGCGGTCAGGTCGATCAATCTTTCTAATGCTGAGTACATCTATGTATTTAAGTCCCACAAACGGAGCGTTTCCGGACGGTTGCAGCTGCTTATTTGACTGATCTATCGTAGGTGTCACGCTACCAGCCCGGGGCCGCTCAAGTGGAACATAGTCTTAGACATGATCTGAGACTGTTCAAGACGATCGCAAGGTATCTATCACACCTGGTTGGTATTTGTGCTCATGATTCACTCTCCACCATCACAGTGCTGAGAAAGTAGACAATGCCAATTGGCTCGAGCAATGGATGAAAAATGGCAGTGTACGCACTGCCTAGGTACTAGTTGAAACGAAAGGTATAATAATTGGGTGTGGTTTCCTTGGTCTCCTTACGAGAAGATCTCCCTGCTTTGGTTTACCTTTCCCCACTGAAAGCTCTTCATTATCGACCGCAAAATGAAGACCTACAGAAACGAGAGCAATTCAAGTGCCGGCGCCGATAAACACAATCCAACCACGACTGATACTAGCATGAAGAGCCCTCACCCTGGCCCAAGTCGAGCAGACCCCCGGTATGGTTCACACGATGTCAAGAAAAAGGGATTCTCAGATATACGCCAGGCGTCCAAGCGACCACTGCCTACCCAAAATGGCGACGGGACCTACCCTTCAGAACTTGCTCGGCCAACAAAGATCCAGAATCTGAAGGCCCTACAGGCCGCAGGTTTGTGAAAATCCTGGCCATCGACGTAAAGTTTGAGCAGATGCTGACGGCTAGAAAAGATCTCAAGACACTTGTTCAGATCATCAAATCCAAGATCAAGAGGGAGAAGATCCAAGATGACAAGACCATGATCATGGAACGGACAATTCAGATTGTCGCCAAGCTCCCACACAACTCTCGCCTACGAGAGAAACTGACAAACACTTTCATTGAAGAACTCTGGGGGTCACTTGACCATCCTCCAATGCTTTACATGGGCGATGAGTACAAATACCGTCAGGCTGATGGATCTTACAACGTTAGTCGACGAGCACTGAACTCCTATTCACGCGATCTAACAGAAAAATCATAGAATCTGATGCTTCCGAGGCTAGGAGCTGCCGGAGGGCCATATGCCAGATCTGTCAAGCCTCGTATCGTCACCCTGGGCGCTATGCCGGATCCTGGCTTGATCTTCGATGCCGTGATGGGGCGCACTAGCTACAAGAAACACCCTAACAATGTTTCGAGTATTCTTTGGTATTGGGCAACCATTATCATTCATGGTGAGTAGACTTTACTCGCTGTATCTCTGACGATGTAAGTGTTCTGACGAGTGGTAGACCTCTTCTGGACGGATTTCAAAGACATAACGAAGTCCAAAACGTCCGCATACCTTGACCTCTCGCCATTGTATGGAAGCAATCAGGAGATGCAAAATTCAATCAGAACATTCAAGGATGGCAAGCTCAAAGCTGATAGCTTCGCTGACAAGCGTCTCATCGGAATGCCACCGGGAGTCTGTGTCATCTTGATCATGTTCAACCGATTCCACAACCATGTGGCGGACAATTTAGCTGCCATCAACGAGGGAGGAAGATTCACACCACCAAGCAAAAGTCTCAACGACGAGCAGACCGCTGCGGCTTTGAAGAAGTACGACGAAGACTTGTTCCAGACTGCGAGACTTGTGACATCTGGCCTCTACATCAACATCACATTGGTCGACTACGTACGGAACATTGTGAATTTGAACCGTACCAACACGACCTGGACACTCGACCCCCGACAAGAGGCCGGTATCGATGCCGGCACACCCGATGGAGCGGAGGCAGGCACTGGAAACGTCAACTCCGCTGAGTTCAACCTTTGTTACCGATGGCATTCGTGCATCTCAGATAAGGATGACAAGTGGATCCAGAAGTTCTACGGCAAGCTCCTAGGCAACAAGGGCCAGATGTCCCCTCAAGAGATGGCCTGCGTTTTTGGGCAATTCGAGAAGTCTATCCCGGATGACCCTGGTCTGCGTACTTTCGCAGATTACGAAAGGGGCGAGGACGGGAAGTTCGACGATGACGATCTTGTAGACTGCATCAGCTCTGCGATTGAAGACTGTGCTGGAGCATTTGGAGCTCGAAACGTCCCTCAGGTCATGCGACCTGTTGAGATTATGGGAATCTTGCAAGGACGCAAGTGGAACGTCGCTGGTCTGAACGAGTTCCGCAAGCACTTTGGCCTCAAGCCCCACGAACGTTTCGAAGACATCAATTCGGACCCAGCTGTCGCAGATCAACTCAGGAATCTCTATCAACACCCAGACTACGTTGAGCTGTACCCTGGCCTCGTCGCCGAGGAGGCAAAGACGCCCCTGACACCTGGCGTTGGCATTGCTCCCACATACACCATCTCTCGCGTCGTTCTTTCGGACGCTGTCTGTCTGGTCCGCGGTGACAGGTACTACACCACGGATTACAACCCCCGAAATTTGACTCAATGGGGTTACAACGAGGTTGAATATGACTTGGACGTCAACCATGGTTGTGTTTTCTATAAGCTGTTTCTCAGGGCTTTCCCCAATCATTTCAAGGGCAATTCTGTTTATGCTCATTATCCCATGGTCATCCCACCGGAAAACCACCAAATTCTCACGGACCTGGGAAGAGTCAACCAGTTTGATTTTGAGCGCCCCAAACCCATTCCCACAAGGACCAATATCACATCGTTTAGCGGTGTCAAGTACGTCTTGGACAGCCAGAGTCGGTTCAAGGTGACATGGGATGAGGGGCTGTCCTTCTTGATGGGCAAGGGTGGAAGCCGCTTCATGTTTTCCGGAGATACTGATTTCCACACTGGGCAGAAGAAGTGCATGAGTGCTCAGCTCTATCAAGACGACTCGAGTTCTCATGTCAAGAGATTCTATGCCGAGATGACGGAACAACTACTTCGCGAGAAGTCATACAAGCTTGCCGGTCAAACACATGTCGACATCATCCGGGACGTTGGCAATATCGCCCACGTTCACTTCGCCGCCAGAGTGTTCAATCTCCCTCTGAAGACACGCAAGAATCCCAAAGGTGTCTTTACTGAGCAGGAGATGTATCAGATCTTGACGGTGATCTTTGTTTGCATCTTCTTTGACATCGACCCAGCCAAGTCTTTTCCTCTTCGCCAAGCCGCGAAGGAGGCAGCGCAGTCGCTGGGCAAGCTGATTGAGACGAATGTCAAGATCACTACAAAGACTGGACTTCGTGGGATCTTCACTGGCTCGGCAGACAAGCAAGACCCGCTCGCATTGTACGGAACCAACATGATCAAGGGCCTCGACAAGGCCGGTCTCAGCACTCATGATATTGCTTGGAGCCAGATTCTGCCTACATCAGGAGCGATGGTGCCAAATCAAGCTCAAGTCGTACGTGGTCCATTGGTGAACTCTTCATCCTATTGTGCTAATCCCTACTTAGTTCGCTCAAGCGGTTGATTACTATCTCTCGCCCCCAGGGTCGAAATACCTCGATCAAATCCATGCCGTTGCCAAGGCACCCCCTACCAAAGAGTCTGATGCTGTGTTGCTTGGCTACGCTA